GGGGAGGGGTGGAAATTCTGATATGTATTTTAACCGTCGGGTATGCGGAACCGCGCAAATCCCACGGAAGCGCGGGGAGGCAAATATTTACTTGCGCAACTAACCTGCATCCCTTTAAAGTTACCCTTTTGGTGCCGCATTTATTTTTAACGCGCGATTTTCTGACGGCGACGGTCTTATCGGATTCGAGAATTCTCGCCGATATAATCGCAGGCGGAATTTTCTCGCTGCACAAGAAAGCGCCCGCGCGCGCGCGCACGCCGTATATAAAAGTATATCCCGGTTTACGCGGGCAATATCGTTTGTTATGTATAAAAAAGTTCTTTCGCGTTGTTACACATTTTCGCTATTAATGGAGGACGGAGGAGGTGCTCATCCCCCACCTCGAGTTGACGTTCGTGTACAAACGGCTACATATATTTACGGAAAACGTCCGACCGGAGTTACGAACTTTCCCGTGAACGATGAACGATTCACGACGTTGGAGAACTTGATAAACGGGTAATGGAGAGTTCACGCGGTCGGTGTGTCGATTTACGATATGGCCATTTTATGGCTATTTATGAATCTAATACGAGGATATTATGTTACGCAGAGGGTTACGTTGAATTGGCATACAATTGTATTTACGGACAAACGTTGAATAACAGCGATTCAATATGTGTTGTGCAAAGCGCGTTTGAATTCTAATCCGGTGCTTACTATTAAATTCAATGAAAAACAATTATGTATATTGTTAATATTCAAGACAGGCGTGAAATATTTTCGCAAACTTTTTCTAAAATCTTCCGGTATCATGGAAGGCTCGAAAAGGAGTTTGCATGCAGGGAAGGAGCCAAGGGGAAGCTTGAAATACGAAACGCGGTGAGACAGCGTGTTCTTTTCAAAGAAGGAATAAATCTTTTTATGGAAATTTGAATGTGAAATAATTTTCCCGAAGAGGAAAACACGATAAAACCAAATTGATTATAAAACATCAAGATAAAGAAACGAGAAGTTCCTGAATTATGTAAATGAAAGGTTTTGCGCGATTTAAGTCTCGGAGAAAGAGAGAGAAAGAGGAGAGAGAGAGAGAGAGACGCAAACTGCTAGTGAAACATTATTCGTTGTACAACGTTGGATTTATTTAGAAAAGGATTTTAACTTCTTTTTTCCCAGCTTGCTAAGGTATTGAATATTGAAGTTTGAGAAATTGTGGCGGAGGTAACAATCTCCGACATTTTCAGTATTAAGGAAAGAGATCGATTCTTAAATTTAACAAGAAATAATGTTAGTAGAAATAATCAGCCAATTTCCTGCTAATTGCTAATATTGAGTGATTCTATAGAAAGAAATAGAAATAATGAACATACATTCTCTAATGCACCATTTTTCCGATGATGCTGGCCGTAGAGAGGGTAGATACTTTCAATCGAACATTTCCTACCTCAAATAAATTGTTCCCCTTCCAATCTTTAAGAAAGATGTCCTCATTTTTTTTAACTGCCGCGATCTCTTGCAGGTTCTAGCCTCTTTTTTTTGAGATTATAAGGAAAGATCTTTCTATTACAAAAAATTCCTTTGACGCTAAATAATAGCGCTGAAAAATTGTAAAAGATATTTTATACAAAAGAATAATATTAATTATTGGTTATTTAAAACTATAAAATTTTATCTTGTTTCACGATGAGGTTTTATTTTAAACCGTTTTAAAATGTTTTACCGAAGAACCGAGAGGAAACGGTAAATTAAATTTGTCATTCGTTTTTGCACAGTATCATCATACATGATATCTGAAATATTTGTGAAAAATTATTCAGTAATAAAAGCAAAATTGTTATGTAAAACACGAATAATTTGTACGTTCGTATTACGTGTGCAACGTGTGTTTAATTTTATATTCCGCAACATGCAGAGAGCGGGCAATAAGAGTTAAAGAACACCGTTAATCCGACGGAATATAATACAACTCTTTTCCACCGACCTAAACTACTTCGCGGGGATGTACTTTAATAAATCATTGTTATTTATTACGCGCGCGCTGTACATAACTTATACTCCGGGGGCGATACGGGGGAATCCACGAATGTGCGTCTGAAAAAGTATTTAAAGAAGGACTGAAAAATAAGGGGCGACTCTCGAAACGTTTATCTGGGAGAATTGTCTTCTCTTTTTATCGGGGGATGAAGAGAGGAGACGAGGGGGGGAGGAGGTATTACAGAGTCACGGTATAATATCACCGATCCGGAGTTAATTCGCCTAATTGACTGGAAAACGAAACTTTTTATCGGTAATTCCAACGCGCTCAAACGGAACGGCGATAATATATCTTCTCGATCTTTCCGAGCGGTGTAAATTACATTCCGCGCGCGCATTCCGTTACCGCGTTAAAGGGTCTCCTCTTATGCTAGTCCCCGCTATAAGACAGATACAACGTTGTGTTTCGTTAAAGTGCAAGGACCTACCCGTTGCACGGCCGATCACAGGACACACGAGAATCGTGCATCGGAGCCGCTCGATCGAGGGCCGTACTTTGATGTCTCGGCCTCTCGCAACGTGACAGCCCTCGTCGGGAAAACGGCGACGCTCAATTGTCGAGTGCGAAATTTAGGCGACCGAACGGTAAGTGGTGAAACATCATGCCTCTCGCTATTGCAAAAAAAAGCGACTTTTACTTTTTTGTAGAAGGGATATAACGTAATAGTGTATTTCGAGTTTTATTCCAATACTAGACAGTAAGTACGATTCAATTAGATGACATTTATTTGAATTTGAGTGTGTTCGATCAGTTGTTTGAATCAATGCCATCTTCTTCAGATTAAACTCAGAGTAAAGAGATTAGAAATAAGGATGGAAGAGATGTAACATAATAGCGTCCTGTAATATCCTAATAACGACTAAGCTGTCATTTTATAAAGCCAATGTAGTTTTATATTCTAATAACGTTATCTCGCTTATTATAATAACCAATAAAGTTTAATATAATACGATTTTAGTAATACTGGGTCCGGAATACAAGTAAGTGACGGTAAAGGGGGCTGTTCTTGAAGTTTATATTAAGCTCTTTAAAAGGAAATTTGAATGACGAAGCCTCAGAAAATATCCCTTTAGCACGCTGAAATAAGTCCATTCAATATCTCGAAGAGACGTACAATTTTAGTTTCGTAATATTCACATTGTACCTCGCGAGTGCCACTTTTATATCGCCGGTATATCGGCAAAATCGACTGTCAGTGCTAAAAATACGTATTTCTCGCCGGCGCGCGATACTTTTACGCCGGAAACTTTTATCAGAAATGGATCGACTCGAAACACGGCAGTTTTTAGACGCGGCATTAAAAGCCTGTCTATTAGATATGCAACTTATTTCTCGTATATACGCATGTATATATTATATGTACAATGACTGATACCTGTCGCGAATTCTTACGTTGCATTCTTTAGGAATTCTTTTGAAATAAAATACATGAGGGGCGCGCGCGAGAGAGAAAAAGAGAGAAAGAGACAGAGACGATTAAAGCTGTCGTGTGACGGATAAATAAGTACGTACGTTATTTACAACGTCGCGGCGTACCATTTATACAAGAAGTTTATGAATAAATTACGAAGAGGGAGTCGTCGAGGAAAGCGCGTGGCTATCGACGTCGCGCGGAACTTTATACGACACAAGCTACGAAACGCGATTAGTCGCAAACTTGACTCCGAGGCAGTTTCACATCCTCCGCACTCCTCTCCCTCGTACGTTGTTTTTCGTCACATGTATAATAAAGTTGGCCCGTCGCGAGACACTTGTGTAAAAGAACCACCGCGAAAGGATAGGCAAGACTGCGATACCATCCACCTCTTTTTTTTTTCTCCGCGTTAAACTCGCGCGCGCGCCATTGCGCCCCCCCGAGAGAGGGATTTCAACGAAAAAAAGCACGTTATATACTCCCCCTTCGTATCTTTCGCGTCTGAGTTTTTGCTCGCGCACCACATTCACTCGTTCCTATTTCGTTAACACCGTTTTTTTATATTTCACCGGCACAATCTGTCTCTTTGCTGCGTCCATGCGTAGGTAGTTGAATTACGTTTTCACAGAGCAATGTAAATTTTCTACGTTTTCGGCCTCGTACGTACGAGGAGTGTTAATTTTAATAAAAAAAATCTGTTATTTTAAATGACGAATTAATACGTAGATCGTACAGCGAAAATTCCGAAATGTAAAACTAAATGTGAGTAAAGAGAATATATATATTTTTTAATATTTTAACGATAGATTTTGCAGCTCTATGTAGACAATTGAATTAATTGTTTTATAAAATGAAATGTAATTTTTTTCCACGTTCCTACAGAATTATATTAATTTCAACGGACAATTTATATCAACGTAGGGATAGTAATAAAGGACTATTAATACAATGTAACGCGAAAATTTTCACGAAAATTCACTTGTGGCAAAAATTAGTTTTTCTAATATCACCGAGAGCGCACGTACCGGTGTAACGTTTGTTGCTGTTGAGATTCTAGACGAGTGATATTTCGTTAAGAAAAAAAAAACTAATACACTTCTTGTGCATTATGTTTATTGCGTGCGCGTTTTTCATTATTGCACGTCACTCTACGTCGGTTAATACATCGGTTAATATATCAGAAAGGTGTACGTTCGATGCACGTCGTTCGTGCTATCGGGAAATTGTGCACTTACGGACACTGTCATATTGGAAGTGAACGCACGTATTGACATTTTCAAAATGGAACTCTGAAAGCTTAAGATTCTTCGCTTGTGCGCGACTTTTCGCGTACGGCAGTCAATTGTACACGGTAATCACGGCGGTGGAGAGGAAAAAGCGTGAGGAAGAGAGGAAAGTTCGGATTTTCCGATGGCTAGCTAAAGTATTTGGAAACGTACAAGTTTGACGTAAATTGATAAATCGATGTTTCCACTTTAGCGTGTAAGCATATTCCGCTCGCGGGAGTTACACGCGCGTATATATACAAATCGCTTCTATCCGCGTATTTCGCGGCGCAATCGCGGGATTTCTAATGTTGCTGCACGATAGGTAAATATAGGTCGACAAGCACGCGAGTAAATCCGTGTTATTGAGGCGGAACGACAAAGGGCGCTAAACTATTTTAATTACAGTCGGCATAAAGCTAAACTATGTGATATACGTGTATGATTGCTTGGTCCCATATCCATATCCGAAAGTGATATAAACGTACTTTCAACATTTCCATTCGCACTTACAAACAAAGTGCATTAATTTAAAAAAAGCGCACATTAAAAAAACATTAAAAAAACATTTTAAATGTCATTTTGTTTAACTTCAAGAAGAAACATTTCAAAACATGCATACATCTAACAATAAGACCGATATTCATAGTCTTATTTTCAAGATAGTTTTGTAATTTAAATATGATTGACATGCATCTCTGTGATTGATTTACGACATTTTAAAACAGTGTCTTAAGATAGTCTTATTGTTAGATGCAGTAAGAACAGACTATGAAATATCGGCTTATTTTGCAGAAACTCTTACATTGCATTAATAGTAGTTGTAAAATAATTTTTTGATGTTTATTATATGCAGTCGTATATCTTTTAAAATTTCCGGTCGGATTAGATATTAACGTTTATAGTCACGTCCCGCGTCCTTGTAAAATAATTTTTTAATATTTTTTTTACGCAGTCGTATTTTCTAAAATTTCCGGTCAGATTAGATAGATAACGGTTCTTCACATCCTTGTGAACAAACGTCAAAATACGGTCGTCGGATCTTCAGAAAACGATTTGAACGTTGCGATTTCAAACGTTTGCCGGTGTAGAGGCATTTTTGCGTGCTGGAAGTGAAAACGCAATCGTACCGACCGTTCCGTTCTCTCTATTAAAACTAAAATCGAATATGCGCTTTTCATTAGCACTAGATCGTAACTACGCGTCACACGAACAAAAGCTGCACGCGTTACGTACCGTTCTTCTGCCTGCACCGCCTCTTCCCCTTTTCGTATCAGCCCTCGGTACGCCAAGCACGCGTGCAAAACTCAATGAAGCCGTTTTTATGGGAGAATACGCATTTTTATCCTACGTGTTCGGCATTTCACATTCCCGCTAATATTATATCGCTCAAACGCACGCTGCGTTTATGTAAATCAATCACGTCGATCCATTTCCACGGCGGCGAGGAACGTAAGAACACGATCTGTCGAATGTTATCGATAAAAAATAAAAAAAATAAATAAAAAGCGATAAAAAAAACATACAAAAAACCGTATATTATATAGGTATATCGAGAGATCGGGGATTGAAATGAATACGAAATTTTTGGCGACCGGGACACGAGCTCTCTTGGTCACCGATATGGAAAAACGAGGCGCCGCGTTCCATTATCAGATGGGCGTTGGGGATCATTTTTACACGTCCGCGGTATCGAAATCCGCTTAAATTATACCGGCCGCCGCAATCCCTTGATCGAATCCTGCGGACGGTCGAATTCCGGCGCGGCGCGGCGCGGCGCAGCGCAGCGCGGCGCAGCGCAGCGCAACGCCGCGCGACCTCAGCTGTCCGCCCAGGTCCGCGCGGATTGCGGAAAGGCGGCGACCATCTGCGGACAATGTGAAGAGAGTGGATGTCGCGACGCGTATGTGTTTTTTTTTCTTTTCTTCCAGGTGTCATGGGTGAGACACAGGGATATCCATCTTCTCACCGTGGGCGTCGAGACATATACGTCGGACCAGAGATTCGTCGCGTCGCATTTTCCTCACACGGAGGACTGGACGCTACAAGTGAAATATCCCCAACGACGAGATTCTGGCACATACGAGTGTCAAGTGTCCACGACGCCGCCCATAGGTCATTCCATGCTCCTCTCCGTCGTCGGTTAGTTCTCTTTTCTCCTCTCCCCCTGCCCCTGCCCCCTCGTTGCCGCCCTTTTCTTCTCGTTTTTCAGCGCGCGCGTTTTGTGCGGCGCGGCGCGGCGCGGGGACCATCACTGATTTCGCCGCGACGCGGAAATTCACGCTATATCTATTTGCCGCCGGAAGCTTAATGTGCGCCGCACGTGCATCGCGATATACCCGCGGCATTTGCCGCGCCACGGACCCACTGATTTATTGCATGACTTAATTCACGTGGAGTTCCTCAATGGGACACACGCGACCTAAAGTGTTTCACCACCGCTTTGTCTCTTCCCCCGACGCGATCCGCTGGCGCGTTATCGCTGCATTTCGCCCGGAGGAAATCAGATTATCAGCTAGAACAGCTAGGTTGTGAGAATGTAATATTTATGAAATCGGGATATCGACTTCTTACCTGATCTTAAAATATTTATGAAGCTCGTTGAAGTTTGCACGACGGACCCCACAGACGGACTTGCAATCTTCGCAAACTTCGCAAATTATAAATTTCTGTCATTATGCATGCTCGCGCTCGTTCCGCGGATAGTGACTTTAATCAGCTTCGTGATTCCGAACTTAAAATTAACTTGATATTAATAATCTGGCATTAATATCAGTCTTTTCTCATTTCGAAATTTATACAGAAATTAATCTGGCGGTTTTCAATACTATGTCGAAACTATCTCGGATAAAAGTAGATTATTATTGTTATTATTATCGCGATAAACTCTCTTTCGCTGATTTAATACATGGCATTTAATACGTGATGAAATAAAATTGAAGGAAAAGAAATAATATAATTGTTAAAAATATATTAAATTGAAACGTCAATGTGAGTTATCAACTTTTCAATTGTAATGTACATATTAATAACGATCCATTTGTTATCGTTCGGAATATCTGATATCGTGTGCTTGTTTGTTCTGCCGATAATGTCAATGTTCCTAAATGTAGTTAGTAATGACAAACGATAAGCAAATAAATACCAAACGTAATATGTTTAATGCAATTACAATTCGCCATTAATTGGCTTTTCAATATTTATCTTAATCTTTGTAAATCCTCGTTCGTTAAAAATAATATTATTTTTCCGTCAATTTCCATCAATTAAATACTGTAACGAAATAACGCGAAATTACAAAGTTTTAAATAAAAAAAAATAAAAACAAATTTAAGCAGGAAAAAATTAATTAATAAATGTGCTAAGTATGTATAATTAAAAAAAATTGTTTTTTTTATTATCGTTTAAACCCATTATTAGCTTTTATTAACTTATTATATATATAATCCAGTTTTATTTTAACAAAAAACACAAAGCAAATAAAGATTTATAGGTTAATAGATGATGCAATAACAAATTTAATTGGGAGTATTAAATTCTTTGTGAAAGTACAATATTACCTTCAATAACTTTTTATCTTGAATTAGCTTTTTCCTTTGTAATTTTTATGTAGTTTGTGTTTGTCAAATAATTGGTAATTTTCACTGTTTACAAAATTTTACAAAAATATAAAATTTAAAATATTTATTATGTAATTAATATCTATCATGTAATTAGTCTCAGGTCGAATTACTCGAAGTTAAAATATAAAATCTTTATAAACTACTATTATAATTACAAAATTAATATCTTTCAAAAAAACATATATAAATAAATGATTTTATTGCGAATTTAAAGATAATATTTGTTAACTCTACATATTCTAAAATCCAAACTAAATTTAGGGTTGAGAAACTGATTAAATTCCCATCGCACACTGCAGATATTTAAATATAAGCTGAGTTTAATTTTACCTTATCCGTTGTTGTAACGATGTTTTGTATAAATATTAATATTAATATAAACTTATAAATGATTAATACGAAATATTAATATTAATTACATTAATATTAAATTTCCACATGCAAGATGTCCGACCGGACATCTTTTTATTAATACAAACTAGTATTAATATTAATTAAATTAATATTAAATTTCCGCGCAAGATGTCCGATCAGATTTTTTTCCTTGATAATTGGATAATGCGATAACGTTTTCAATAATATTCCATTAATATAATTAATAATATTCCATTTAATAATATTCCATGTTATATCTACAGAGCCCGTGACGTTGATCATCGGAGAACCGGAAATGTACATAAACAAGGATAGCACTATGAACTTGACCTGCGTCGTGCGGCATAGTCCCGAGCCACCCTTGACCATTTACTGGACACACGATCATGAGGTATGTACGTTGTCATTAAGCCGCGACTCACTTGACGAAAATGAAAGTACGGGAGGGAGAAGGAGCGCCGCGGCAGGTTAATTTTCAATAATCGTCATTCCTAACTAGGACGCGCCGCGTGAAGGACGGTAACTTAAATCCACTGTTCTCCCCGCGCTGTCATAATTCTTTGCCTTTTCCCATTCAACTTACGCTCACACTCGATCTACCCCGTCCACACTCTATCATGCGACCCGTTTTAAGCAAGTTTTTAAATCTAAGATTCTAAGTTTGCCGAGAAGAGGAGAGAAAGAGAATGAAAGAGAGAGGAGGAAAAACTTTTAATTTTAATATTACCTGTTCGGAGCGTTTCTCCTTGTTGAATTTTTAAATGTACGAACACCGCGGAAACTCCGTCTCATTTCTCAACTTCAAAACCTATCTTCCACCCCCCGTCTTCCCTCTCTCGTTCCCTTTGCCGCGTAAAGTTTTTCTAGTGTGCTTTGCCGACCCTGGTCGCATTATACAACACCTATTTCCACCGACCGTGTTTCTGTCTCTCTGTACCTCGCGGGCTTCTCTACTTAGGTCTTATATTCTTACTTTCGAACTCCACCGACAGTTCATCGCATTAACTCTCTCGTCGTCCTCGCGGTACCTTCCGCTCCGTAATGTTCCTCGCCAATATTGCGCACTGTATCTTCATTCCTCGTTATTACCCATTCTCGGTTCACTTCATCGATATTTTCTCGCAATTTACAGCGCAGCTCTGAGATAAACGTGTAGCGCCTCTCATTTAATTGTCACAGTTTGTTGCGTCAATTCCCTTATTCAGTTCTTAATGTAACGCTCACCGCCGCGACTTGTTTATCATTATTTATTTTATAATAAATGTAAATTGTTCTCTTATATGTATTATTATTATTTATCCATAATTAATATTCTTTTGTAGACCTAATTATTCATTTTTATCTGCTCTCCTTTTTGTACTCCTTGCAGTTTCTCTTTCTCCTTCTCTTCCTCCTCCGCGAACAAATTTATTTTTCTTCCTTTCACTGACTATCTTTCCTCTTTTACCTGCCCCTCTCATTTGAGGATTTTCTTTTCGCAATCCGATTTTTGCAATCCTCACATGCGGGGCCCAAGTCTTTTTCCGGCCGTCTGTCACTTTATTTCTTAGTCTATCTCCCAGAATTTGACTTTCTTCCTCTCCAAACCCATCCGTTCCGTCGCCCTCGATCCCCGTAAAGCTTCCGCGCGTCGCGCACGCGGAGATTTCCCTTCGTATACTTGTTCCGTCTCATCATTCGCTTTCCCATCCCGTCCCGACGCTGGCTGGCTGCATCCCGTGCTAGCCAATCCTGCCTCGATATCCCGTACGCCCCCCGAGTGAAAAATTCGACGTGCAGTATTTCCTACTGGCCCCATATTTTCCATCTGTCTCGTCGCACGCATTCCTTTCCATCCCTATGACCTAGTTAACCCCGCCGCCGTTTCGCAGGGAGAATTATGCACGTTGAGATATGCAGTGTGTAGCATAAATATCGGTAAACGTGCAATCATGCTACCGCCGTCTCGTTGGTACAATTGATTTCGGTATACGTGTGTATATTAACTTTGCGTTACGCATATAATTACATGATGCTTTCCGATTGCGATCAAAAGGTTGCATTTGCATACAAAGTTAAGATACGTATACACGCGCGTCAAAGGCACCGAGAGAGAAGCATTGGTAATTCGCGAGGAAATAAAATTACCATTTCCGTGGCGATCCGCGGAGTAGCGGATGTTCAACTGCGAGTTTCCGCTTGCAACAGCCCCTCCTCCTTTTCCCCATCGATCCGAGCAATCAGTACTATCCACAGTGTAATCCGCTTTGTGTATCCTCATTATAAAAAGACTTACATAAGACCGCTCTAATTTAAGAAAGTTACATCGTAGAAAAAACTTTGGATTATAATTTGACTTTGCAATGTATTCTTTGGACAAACGTTTCAATTTCAAAGTATCATGCCGGGTCGAGTTTGTCACAAAGATTCCGCAGACACGCAGAGATTATTGTGAAATAAATAAAGCGCGCATGTCGAATTTTTCGAAATAATGTTCCAAAAGCGCGTATTATAATTCGAAAACGAAATATTAGGGATTAATTTTATCCTTATTTCTCATAAATACTAATATATTTATTCGTTAAAAGTAGTAATTATAATCGTAAATCGAAAAAAATCACTATTGTCGTTAAGAGGATTACACAATTAATGATGTCGAAAAACTGGAAAATAAGCGCGGTATGCGAGGGCTGCAAAAATCATGAATATTAATATCAATTAATGAGTATTGCAAATTTGATATTTTAGATTTTCAGAATTTTAGACATTTTGTGGTCCGCCGACAGCATATAGCCGTCGTGCCATTGTTACATTGGAATTCGCTGACGGCATGCAGCCGGCATGTAAACGCTGATGCACGTTGGATCGACTCATGAAATGAGAATATGTTAATATTATATGTTAAACGCTAAAACTTTCATTAAATAAAACTTTAATGGAAGCCAAATGCGTTTTTAGATTTTTTTAAGAGACGCGAAAAATTTCTAAATGTGAGAAACTGTTTAAAAAAATAAAATGCCTTGTTCAGTTTTGTTTCGGCGAAACAAAAATGAAACGTATTTACTTGTATGTAATGACATTTAAAACATGCATATGTACACACGTGTGTGCAGATAAAACAGCGGGAGCGTTACGCGCTCATGGTTGAAATAATTATTTAAATAGTTATTAATTCCGCTGCTATCGAAACTTAATTAAATACAGGGTGGGGTCCTGTTTTGTAATTAACTTTTCATTTTGAGCCAGGAAAAACTCACGCGAGGCCGTATCTGATTTGTGCGGCAAAGGAGAACGCAAATAAAATATTTTGCTTTCATACCGACCAAAAGCAAATGAAATATTTTTCGTTTTCGGTCTCTGGTATATAGACGGAATGTTACACATGTTCTTTGAAATTTTTACATGAAATATACGGCACTAGGAATTTTTGATGCCTCAAATCATTTTTGGAGATATTCGCATATTACGTTTTCCCGCGAATCCGTATGCGTACGCGAATCGCTATTTGTTTAATATTGAAGGCGCAAGTGGCAATCTATTGTAGGTTCTCGATAAATATGCATTACGTGAATACACGCCGTGCCGTTGCGGATAATAACGGTAGGATTCGTTGTGCAAAATGTAATAAGCGTGCGGCATGATTCAATCAAAATCCATTTCCGCGCGGGCGTGAGAAGAATGAAAAGCGATTGCTTGAATTTAAAAGGAAGAATAAATAAGTGATGTGAACAGAAATTAAAACGCGAGGGGCTGACAGACGGGGGCGGATAAAGAAGCTGTCGTATATCCGCCGGAAACGCGGAAACGGCAGTCGTGAAATTGCGTGAGAAAGAAAATAGCGCAAAAAAAAGGAACAACATTTAGTATAAAACAGACGAGATGCCCCCGAGCCCCCGTTATACCTAGTTGTATTTTTGGATTTATAGTACTTCTCCGTCGCTTCGCGCGCGCGTCTCTCCAAAAGTTTTTGAAATCCATTCTGCAACAGAGTGACATACGATTCGTTTATTTTGGGAGTGCTGTAAGTTCAGCTTTGAAACATTATGAGTTTCAGCGAAATACAGACATAAACGGATAACTCCTATATTGGTTTCACTAAAGTTTTCAAAACTGGACTGCCACCAGTTTACAAACCGGGAAACGTACGTGATCGAGTAGTCGGGGCGAAGTCCTGTCGCTTTTTAACCCGCGCTCGGACGAAATGCGTCTGAAAAACATAAACACGCGCCACACTGGGTATGTGCAAAAAATACACGTTTATTTAAGTTAAATTAATAGGTACGGAAAAGTTTGTCGACAAAACGCCAATTCTAAAAGTTACGTATATCCCCGACGCGTTTACGACGCTACTGACATGAGACGCGGAATTACATGATTCTATATATCATACTTTTCATACGGAGAACGATGAATTGAAAGATTTATGTCTCGCGTCTCTCGCATTCCGGACGAAAAAGCTCCGGCTACTTTATTACCGCAGTTTTTTGTCCCGCTGCTCTTCTGCGAAGAGCGCATCGCCGATCGCCGATGCGTGCGACCGCGAGCTTTTTTTTCCCCGACGGAGGATTAATTGATCGTTCAATTAATTGATCCCTTCGTCGGTTTGTCGAACACTGTTGTATAAGCGTTACAGGAAGAGATTTAATTAGAATAACATTTTTTTTCCCGGGCCCTGCACGTGACAGGTGATCAATTATGACAGTCCAAGAGGCGGGGTATCGGTTATCACGGAGAAGGGCGAGGTAACGACGTCATACCTTTTAATTCAACGTGCTCAACCGGCGGACAGCGGACAATACACCTGCCATCCCAGTAATGCTAACACAAAGACAGTCTTAGTTCATGTACTTAATGGTATGTATACCTTCTTAATCTTATAACGCACCTGCTGTTACGCCGCTATAACATCTGTATGAGCGGCTTAATGCACGTAATGGCGATCTTTATGCGCTATTCAGCCCCGATTATCCCGGTATATTGCGAGAAAATAAATATTACCTCGCGGAGCCGCACTCTCTCCGCTTATAAGAGAAAGAAGGGAGAAGAGAAAAAAAAGAGAAAGTATTAATCTTTCGCTTTGCAGGGGAACATCCAGCTGCGATGCAGCACGGCGGACAGCTCAGATTAGCCAATTTACCTTTTGTAATGATCTCGACGACGCTTTTGACCTTCTTGAATCATCCTTATTAGAACGTAGAACGCTGGACCATCGTGAGAAACGTTAGTTAGACATATTCCTTTCGATTTTTCTTTTCGCACTCTCGAGCGTTTGATTTTTCTTCGGGAGGAAGAAGAACTTATATCACCCACGCCGCTCCGAACACTCCACGCAGCTCGTATGAATAAACGATCGATAGAGTAAACTGCACAAGTTCGAGAGTCCTTCTATGCGCGATAACGTGATTTATATTGTACACTTGTTGTTTGGATACGTTGTTACCAAACGCTGTTATACTATCGTCGTTCGCTATGATTTATTGTTATTAAATATTTTTAAACGGAGAATAGTCTTTATATAAGTGATATAGTCCTCAATCAAAAACTATATAGTCTTTATACCTTGCGAGAATTATTAGATGTTCTTTATCACGGACTGCGAACCGTCGCCTACGATATTGCCTACGTCAATAAGCACGTACCTCGCGAAAGTCTGTAGGCGAATATAAATGGACGTGAGAGAAAGAAAGAATACCTTTTGGAACGGGAAAGCATTGTAACATACTGAAAGATATATAAGAACAACACCGAGAGCGACGAACCGGAAAGCAAAAGCGGCAGAACGGTCTCGAGTGGCAAGTAAAAAGATATAAAAAAAAACAGGAAATTTTCGTTGATGCTGAAGCATTGTAAATGTGCGATTCAGGGCGAAGACAGGGTAACGAAAATTGAATACATTTGCGAAGATATTTGCCAGTTAGTTAATTTCGAGAGCTCAGACCCGAGCAACAGGTAACGTAATATCTATTTTGCTTTACCATGTTTTACAAGACAATACGTTGCGCTTGCCAAAAAAAAAACTACGTACATGCTACAGAAATAATTTAGATTTTAACATAGAAAATTGCGTGTTAAAATCTATTATTATGTTGAGAGAAGAGAACCACTTATAAAAACAAAAACAAAAAAAAAATATATATATATATATAATACACTGTAAAGCCGCTAAAATGGAAATATTCGATGATGTATGAATGAACGTGTTACGCTGAGGCATGAGTGGAATCATTCACATAAAACGCATAACGACGTAAGTTTCTGAGAGAAAATTGTTCTCTAACGATCGTCTTCGACGGGTAACTCCGATAAGTTTGACGTAACTCAAATGAAATTATGAAGAATGCGCTTCGGTAATCGAATGTTGTGTAATCACGTAATCAATTAAATTTCTATTCTTCGATTCGATTTATCAATCGTAGCACTTTATTTGATATTAAAACTTTATTTGGCATTAAAACTAATTTATTTGGTGTGGATTAGTGTGGATCTATACTGCTTCGGATAACTGTTATAGAGCTCTAATGACGATAATTATGAAGAAAGAGGATAATTATAATTTTGGTATTTATTGCGGATTATAACATTCAAGGTAACTATCGAGGAAAAATTGTCCCTGTTTATCGTGCATTGATATGTAACATACGTCTTCGCTTTGATGTCCTACTTTTGATGTATTCTGTTATTACGCAAAAAAAGACTTATCATTGTGTGAAGATTTTAATGATTCTAATATTTACTCAAAAAGAACACCATAAAGCAACTTGAGTTAGATTGTGCGTCTTGAAAATTTCGATTTTTTAACGAGTTAAACAGACGATTTTCAGATTTATAGCATCTTGCTCTCAGGACATATATGCTTGTATATCATTGTCGCGCTACGAATTAGGACATGTATATTGTGCGTTTGGCCGTGAAATTACTCGAATTTATGTGGGTAATTTGAGACTCTCGACCACTTCTTGATTTGGCGAGTCTGTTTAGATAATAGCTATTTGTTATTATCGTGCAAATAAATCAGTTATGATTAAATCATACGTACTGATCGTGCGTCATTTATGGTATCGTCGTTCTGTTCTAATTTTGAGTACAAACGACATACATTCGAAAATTAGATCTAGTTTTATAGATTTATTAATGATATTAAATCACACAGAAGTAAACAACGAGAGGTTGGATGCGAGAATCAAAATTTAAAGCCTATTTGGATCGCGATAAGCGATCTGCTATATTATGTATATACAGAATGTCCCGCAGTGTGCTTCCTAGGAATTACGGACTTGTTAGCGAATTCGAGAGGAAGAGGAAGAGAGAGACAAGTCGATACTTCCTTAGCTAAAATCTTGTTTGTACATAAACTTATAATGATCAATACTAAAAAATACAATGGTAAATCTCAAAATTGAAGTTCTATTAGGATAAAAAAAATGTACGTGATGCAAAATAAAAGGAAAAAAAAGAAAGATCTTTATTTCCAACATTACAGTTTCCCTCTTCCATACGAGCGGAATGTTCGAACGCTGTTAAACCAAATGCGACTAACACGATAAGAGATACAGTAAATATTCTTTTACAATAGCTTACACGGTTTCCAGTGGATCCTTATCACTCTCAGAGACGCGCACCTCGACAGATTTTTGTAAACTGCGCTTCAATATCGAGGCATACACCTTCAAAAACCCGCGTTCCGAATCCGAATGATTCGTTAGTATAACATGACTTCCCTGATGTACAGCGTCTAATACATCGTGATGCAACATTTCCCCCGTGAGATACAAGTCCGCAGATATTCCTTTCAAGATCGACGTGCCCGCTCCGGCACATAGCGCAACGGTCTTAATGTTACCGTCTAAAATGTAATAATAATGACGCAAAATAGTAATTGTATCGCCCATCGAGCTTGCGATTTCCATTTTCAGTAATAAATTTTTATTTTTGTTAAGATCTCACCTGTACCGCGCGCACGTGCTAATCTTACGTGCTTCAGATCAGTTTGTTGCTTCACCAAATTTACTACTTCGTCAACGGATATGCGGTTCTTCAAGGTACACAATCTTCCAAATCCATAAGTCGGATTACTGTCATTTGGTTGAATCGGCGTGCTACTCTCCAGCTCTTAAAACGTAATTTTTATGTATAAGGTAAGCCAGTACAGTAGTAATGCTTTAACGATGCAGGTGCGAATCTAATTTTTTTTACCAAAACATTCTGCCAGCCAGTCGTTTACACCACCTTTCACAGAATCGAAACTGCTGTGCGGAGAGAAGACAGCAATCTTGTTTTCTAGACACCTCGCTATTATTCGTTCCTGTTGAATGCAAAGAAATTACATGTGTAAAAATATATGTAAAAAAAATTAGATTGAAATGATATTTCTCGGCAAAAATTATATTACGACTTTACCTTCCAGGATTTAGTTGTAATAGATTTCAGCGGAGCAAATATTAACGGATGATACGTGACGATTAAATCTGTTTTCAATTTAACGGCTTCGTCCATAACATCTGCGGTTAAATCATTCGTCAATAAAATGTGCGACACAATTTTCGGTTCTGTAGGTTCAACCAGTAATCCGACGTTGTCCCAGGAAGCTGCGAGCGACGTATCCGCAAATTTAATCATTGCACTCACAACATCCTTCAAAGGCATGCCGTTTGTATTTCCTGCAGCGTGACTCATCGTACGTATCGTTTTATATTGTTCAATGTATCTGTACTGGAAGTAAAAATTCTTGCAAGATAATCCCACGTTGTACAAACGCTTCTGCATTTATGAGCAGCCCTAAAATAAAGATGTGATTGTAGACGGTCTATGACATTATTTCAAGTATAAGACTATTAAAGATTATTTTTATTTTTCGCAAAATTGAAATTGAGCTGCATTAATAAGGCGAAATATTCGAGTTTTTAAGCTATAAGCTTTTGGAAATAAAAAATCTTTTCAAATCAAGCTTTCGAGGAAAAGACAAATGATAAAACTATTTGCATTTTATGCGTAACATTACAAATTTTGTAAAATTAAATGTTGAAACTTGGGAAATTAAAAATTAGACCAAATGATGTTTCCCTTTCACGCTCTATGAGAAAATAACAATTTTTTATTTTGTACAACAAACAACGTCTATTATGCTATTCGTCATTTTGGACATTTGTTTTTAACAAGTAAGAAAGGCATCAAGTAAATATTACGTATTTTATAGAATGTTTTATTCGTTATAAAACCATATCTTCACAGAACTATCGTCGCTCGCGGACGCGAGCTGTCCGGGAATCGTGGGATTCCATTGAACGCAGTTAACATCTTGAGCGTGTGCGCTGTCCGCCGAGCAGACCATCGTGAAGTTCGGTTGATGCGGATCGCAGTCGCTGTCCTCCTTAAATATCCTAATGATATCGTCGCCGCACGCGGTCACCAGTAAGCCCGTAGTCTTGCACCAGTCGATGTCGTAGACAGTTCTCGTGTGGTATCCCGACAGCGTGCAGACACACTTCCAGACGGACTCGTTGTTCGGCGTGGCGACGCCCATGTCGTTGCCAGGTTTGTACTCCCGCCATATCTTCACCGTTTTATCGTCGCTGCAGGTCGCTATTCGATTGCCAATCTTATCCCACGAGAGACTCCACACCGTGGACGTGTGAGACGACAAGGTCGCGATGCACGACCAGTCGCTGTCGGCTGCGTCTTCCTTAAATATCTTCACCGTGTTGTCATAACTGGCAGAGGCCAGGATCTCTTCGTGCGGATGCCACCTCACCTAAAACAAAATAAAAAAACCCATTTTATACGTACAAGGCATAAAATCGTCGCTTACAAATTGTTTTTATTGGTAGAACAAGATTTCTTTTTTTTTTTTTTAGCAAATATATATTTAAATCCTAGTTTCATCTAATGAACAAACTTGCAACGATTGCAACATACCTTCTTTACATCTTGAGTATGAGCATTGATTACGGCGGCACACTCGTATTCGTCGTCGTTCACTTCCCATACCCACACAGATTTGTCCCGGCTACACGTGGCGAGCAGCTGGCCGGAGATCGACCAGCTAACGCTCTTCACTTCGTTCTCGTGCCCCTCTAACGTCGCGTTGCATTCGAACTGCCCCGACTTCTTGTCCCACACCGCGGTGGTGGCGTCGAAACTCGCCGACGCGATATAGTTGCCACACGTGGACCAGGCCAGCTCTCTAATGGTTCTGGAGTGCCCCTCGGTGAGGATCATTTTCGTGACCCACTTGGGCCCCTCCAGTCCCCATATTATAATCGTCTTGTCCTCGCCGCAAGACGCAAGATTCGCACCCTTGGGATGCCAACAGACGCTCCACACCCTGCCTCGGTGCCCGGTCAGGCTTTGCTTTAGTTCCAATGTACCCATTGCTACCTGCAACAGCACAATTCATCTTTTATATATATAAAAAATGATCCATTTATCGAGAATGAAGAAATTTACTTAAAGGATTATAAATTCAATGAGACAGAAATAATAAATAAAATGTTTGTTTTCAGAATTTTAATGCCTGGAATGAGCACTAACATGAAACATAGAATAGCTCAGGATACGTTGGAACTAAATATAACAGAGCATACCAAAATTTTCTTACCGCAAATACATCCGTTTTTCCCATACCAATCTTTGTCATTCCAACACGCAGTGTATAGTACTTGCTTGCAATATATGTAATTAACAATAATGAGCCTTCGTCACATGGACGGTAACACTTGACGACACTCGGCCGTAAGTTATTCCATTCGAACGCATAAGTAACAAACACGAAATAATAAAATACCTGAAGATCTTGCGAACTCACCGTTTTGTGTTTTTCGAGGTGAATATCAATCCCTGATTCTCGCACGCATAAATATGCCGGTTGACAGCGCGTGGAATATTTATGAAAGCGATAACAAGTCTCCGTAGACGGGCCCCGATTCGATGCACATACATGTGACTCCGCAATACAGCCACCGGTAAACGTGCGATTTAACCGAATAACAGATGCGATTGCCGACAGAGAGCGTTAAAGTCCACTTGCATCAGCTGGTCGGTGCGAAGAGAGCCGACGCATGTCCGCATGATTGCCTGAGAGCCTGGGGTTCCTCAAATGACAATTTGAAGACCATCCGCGTCATTTTCAGGTTATGATTACGCTTCCACTTGGTGCTGCAAATGATGTGCTTCAAAGTACTTTTTTTTAATTAGTAAAATTCTTTCTTCTTCGACGGGTGCATTTCGTTTTATATAATAACACGCCTACCGTATCATCTTATCCTTGTTTAATATTCAGTGAACAACAAGGATAACATGACACATCATGCGCATCATGCATAAAACGGAACGCACCCGAGGGGTGTGATCGTTTTACGCGGGGCCGTACTCGCTGAGTGTGATGTATGTGTGTGTGTATGTGTGTGGTTATATGTTGTGTGCGTGGATAGCCAGAAGTCGCTGTATAGTCGCTGTGTAGATCGTCATAAATATGTGTGGTGTCAAACTAACCATGCTAAGACGTATTGGCTCTCGTTAACCCGTTAAGAATTTAGGCTCGCCGACACGGCCGGAAGATGGTTTCGATTATCAAAAATCAGCTGCTGAAACATCTGTCGAGGTACTGTGTATCCGCGGTGCAATGTATCGCGGTGTGATCGATTAACCTGAAGCACACACGGCCTCACGGTCTTTCTCTCTCCCTCTCTCTCTCTCTCTCGCTCTCTCTTTCTCGCGCAAGTGACATGCCAAGGAGAAAAAAAATCGCCCCGCTCCATAAGTCACACGTCACGTAACGCGCTCCTCTTTGCACTTCCTTATTGACGAGACGTACGTCTTGTCATCCCGATACAGCCGTCGCATCTCCCTTTTTCCCAAGCGCCCCGCATAATTTTAATATCGAGTACACGGAGCGGCTCTTGAAAGTACGAGAGAAAGCGCTCTCTCCCATAGCGATCGACATACTCTCGTCATATGCCACTGCTGATTTTTTTGCTTTTTCTTATCAGACCAAAGTGGTGCACGTTAACTGAGTTAGCAACAGTTATATAACTGTGCATAAAAATTTATATCTATGCTAATTACATTTATCTATTGTCGAAGTACAATTTAAACATTTTTTTTATAATATACGTATACACATATAATATTATTATTTGCTATATATATATTTTTTTATTTATACTTATTTATATATATATATATACATGTATATATATATATATTATTTATTTACTTTATGGTCTTTATAACAAATCATAAATGACATATTTTGCATGTTGAGTTTTCACGTTACATATTGTAGGTTTACGAAGAATTTATCTGCTGATAAGATAAACCTGAGCACATTCAAAGGTGAAGGAGAGCTATCAAACTTAGAACTTGATGAAATAGTCCTCACGGATCTACTAGAGCTGCCATCGTGGTTAAGACTAACTAATGCTTGGTGTAATAAAGTTTCATTTCGCATACAATGGACCAAACTGAAAAGTGTTCCTATCTTTTTGGTAAATGGACAGTTATTGTTTAAAGATATATATCGATATACTTTTCATGCCATTTGTGTTTATTATATGTAAACAAACTGCAAACAATTGCCAATCGAAATGTTATGTTTCCAGAGTTTGGATGAGGTTCACATAGACGTAGAAACATGTGAGGATCTAAGAAGCATGTCTTCCCCGCAGGGTATATCATCGTACGCTGGTCCTGCAAAGTATTCTTTTATACATAAAGTAATTGATGGAATAACAATAGCTGTCAACACTGTGCTGGTTACTTTTAAAAGTCCTGCATTTATTGCCTCAGTCCAGGTATGGTATTACTACAGCGTACGTTATAGAGTAAATTGAACATTTTTTACAGTGACATTTATCTAAAATTATATTGTATTAGATGAACCGGATTATGGTAGAATCCAAGTCGGCGACATGGCAGCGTTGCGATCTCAGAACCACTAGAGTAAAGGATCCTGATCGGGGGCAGTTACTTATCTTTAAAGAGTTAGAATGGCAGACCGTTAGAATAGAAGCTCAAAGTACTAAGGATCAGAATTTGACGCCGCTTCGTTTACTTACAAATCAAGCGAGATGTCGAATTACGATAAAAAAAAGAATATCAGGTCTGTTAAAAGTTGATATAAATAAATATTTATTGGTAAATACATTATTCACCATTGCTAAATCTACTATTTTATTGTTGGATCTTTTCATTAGATTGTTTCATTATGGGCTCCAGATTAGTAATTATACTAGATGATCTTTTATGGGTATTGACGGACTCACAACTGAAAGCCGCGCTCCACTTTCTCGATTCTTTAGGTGGTCTTATTGAGAAAGCTACCATTCTTGAACGAAAAACAAAAGCCGCAAGAAAATTAGAGGTTCATATATAATTTATTTAACATTTATTTTAATTAACTTTTATAAAAGTAATTATTAATTTTTTTGTCTTATAATTTAAGGTTTTACCGGAATATCAAGCACAAATATCTCAACAAAGTAGAACAAAGAGTCAGTGTAATACAGCGATTTCCAAAATATTTACGAGATACGATGTTGTAGAGACATCATATCATTTTCTTTCACAACGCATTGATCTTCATTTATGTGACGATGCTGGTGGTAAGTTCAAGAGAGATTTATATTCGTTTTCACATTTGATTAATTATTCATCTCCGCAACCAATTATTAAGAGTGTTATTTGTATATTTTTTTATTTTACTTAATATTTTATTTTACATATTTATTTATTTAACATCTATTAAGTATAGTTTATGACTTTCTTTTGCATTACAATATATTTACAATATATTCACTTTTATTTTATCAATATTATATTATTGAAACAGGAGGCAGATCATTACATCCTGATCTGAAGGACGGTGGTGCACTACAAATTTCATTAGTTAGATTTCAAATTGATTATTATCCGTATCATCTGGCAATGGCGGACAGAAAACATTGGGCCAAGTACAGAGAGAATGCCACACCTCATAATCAATGGTTGCAACAATCGTTGAGTTCGTTCCGAAGTCAGTTTATGGATCTCATAGATTCTGGAAGAACACAACATTCTCCGTTAACAAGAAGTCAAGGAAACGTAACAGGTTCGTGCATATATAGTATACATCTAAGCATCTAATGCAAGACGTAATTGATATAAAAATTTGCAATTTTATTTAAAGCAGCTAGCGGTACGAAAGGTTCCAGAGAGCATTTGGAGAAAAGTAATCAACCACAAAATCCAAATGTCACACCGTCTGAGCAAAAAAAGGCGCAACATCCTAGTGGTAATCCCGTGAAAAATTATGTCTTGGAGCAGCTTGCCAAGCTAATGACGACGTGCATTATTATCAGGATCGATGATTTTACCTTGTACAAAGCGACGACAACGTCGCGCAATCCAATACCGAAAGAATTTATCTCAGGTATCGTATGTCTTAATATTATCTGAATTATTTGCTTATCCGGCTCTTTATTCAAATAGTCGCATCAGGTTTGACAATAATTATTTTATTTGGTAATTGTACAGCTCAAACCAGGAAAAAACATATACCAGGTACAACAAATTAGTAGTTTGTTTGAATGTACAATAAAGTTTTTAGCTACATTTGAGTTATTCTGACAAGCAGTTTCATTATTTTACTCCGATTTTTGGTTCATTTTTTTGGTTCATCTTGTAATTTATTTTATTTAAGATAAGATTAATCTGTAATTTAATATTTAGTGTGCAATGATTCATCATGAAAAAATATTGATATTACATATTACAAAAGAAATTTTCTTATAGAGATTGTATGAGATGTATGTTATTTACAAATGGTATTGCTAAATAATGTTTTAATATTTCGACAAAACGACATATAAAGTTATCATTGCATGTGAAATCGAATTTAGATAGCTAGATTGTCCTTCCATTCAATCAACTTCTATTACTTATTCTTACATCTATTAAAATTACGTTTTTATTTAGGCGATCGTGACAGATTTAGTCTTCCAGAAGACGTAACAATAGTTCATGCCGAGTTTACTTATTACTATTACCCGGGGGATATTACTTTTCCCTGTAAGCAGACATTTTATACAGATATTTTTTATTCCATTCGATAACGTCACTGTATTAAATGACGTATAATTTTTTTTTTTAGTGCCGCCGCCCAAATTTTATGTACAGCTAAATCCCATTCAAATAAATTTCGATGTCTGCTCGTGCCTTTGGTTTAATTCTTTTGCACTGAATCTTTATCATTCTCTTATGGGAAAGGACAAGCAGCTGAGTTCTTCGCGTTTAATGTATTTTGATGTAAAGATAGAGGCTATACTCCCAAGAGTAAGTTAGAATATATTAGCACTTTATAGACTTTAAAATCGTGCCATTTAACATTTTAGTGATGTTAAAAATTTGTAACTTTTAGATAGTATTTGAAAGTCAGCAGGATTACCCCAACCAGAAAGACAGACCCAAGTCCCTGCATCTGCAAACCTCCAGAGCATCTATAACAAATGTTCGATCAACGGAGAGATCTTCAAGGGCGGACTTGGCGCAGTGCCTCAATGCATTTCAAATGGGACAAATGTTCTTTGGCGCAGAGTTTCCCAGTAAATCGAGTGATTTTCATGTAGTGACGGATAAATTTCTGGCGCATTGTGCAGGTATGTGTGTATTCGCGATATCGTCAATGTCAATAAGGTCCGGTTCCACAAATGTAAGATTAACGTTAATCTCGGGGTTTAACTTACTGTTTATATCTTTCTAATTCTTAGATTAGACAAAGATAAAGCGAGTTAATCTTCGGTTAACCGTGAATTGTGAAATCGGGTTCTAACACTCCTCTAACACACGTCTAGTCCTTTTGTTATTAGTTTTTTTTCACATTTCTTTTTCCGTTTTGCATTTCAGGCACCGATAACATTCGGCAAATACCGCCCAATTTCAGTAGCAATTCCGTGAACGAGCTGCTTCGTCAGCTGAACAGAGAACTTTTGTGGACGGAGGCGAAGGATGTGTGGTGCTGCAACTTGGAGCCTGTTTGGGGGGATTTTTTCGGTGCGCGGGCCGTCGGCCAGAATCGGCCGGTGCCGTTTCTCGACGCGTTTCCTCTGACCCTGTGGTGCCACTTCACCGCGGACCCGTTGTCAGCCGCGGAGAGGCATTCGCCCGCCGACATTCACGGGCTGGCGTACATAAGCAATCTAGTTAGCGTGCAGATAAATCATTACCAGTATTTGTTCTTACTCAGACTGTCGGAGATACTTTCCGAGATGGCTACGTACTTGGCTGTGGACTCGAATAAAATTCTGAACGTGGAGAACGGCGGCTCGCTGATCGTGGGCGCGTTGATACCGCAGGTGGAAGTGACGTTCGTGATGCCGTCGCACACGCCCGGCAAGGAGAACTCCGGCGGCGATCTGGAGTCCGTGATGCCCGACTCGTCGAGCATCGCGGACGACTACGTCGGCTCGTCCGCGGTCTGGCAGCACACCAGCACGGTGGGCGCGCGCGTCGACTTCAGCGCCAAGAGAATGAACACGAGCAACGACGTGGAGACGCCCCAGAGCGAGGCGTCGTCGATGCTGTCGATGGATTACTTGCATTCCGCCCCGACGACGCAGCCGGTCGTCACCTTCAAGCAGAACGGCAGCACGAAGAAGGGCGATCAGGAGGGGCCGACGAACGCGATGTGGTGCATCCCCGAGAGCAGCGGGCCGCAGTACGTCGTCGGCAATACAGCGAGCGACGAGAAGAGGCACACGCCGGAAGCTACGCACAAGCACAGCAAGTCGGACTCGAACACGCCCTTTATCCCGAATAATTTCAACGTCAATCTCTCGTCTATGAAGAAGGGATTCAGCAATCTGATGACGTCGATCGACTCGGCCTTGAAGGCCTCCCCGGAGGACGGCAGTAGCGACACGGTGTCCATGAGAAGCGACGTCAGCTCGGACAGCGAGAATTACGTTTTGGTGAACCTACAGGATCAGGGGAAGATCGACGCGGTATTCGGCATCGATAACTCGATTAGGATAACGGCCGTGGAAGAGGCGACGGAGGTTGTGGAAGAAACGCCGGACACGCAGAGTGAGAAATCTATGGACAGCGTATGCAAAAGGAAGGATCTGGTGAGTATCGTGGAGTATGCAGTTTTGTGAACGAAATTTCTCGTGATTATCGAAGACGGTAGTAATGGAATCTTATTTTCTCATCCGCAGGTTTCCATGGCAACGTTCAAGCTGTCGAAAGTCGAATTTATACAACAATCTTCTGATTATTCTTCTGTTATTAAGATTCAAGTTTCCAATGTTGACAACGATGAATGTTCGTCTATCCCTTGGGATGAATTTCAGGTGAGTCAAGTTTACATTTTAATCGATGTAAAATAAAATGAATATACATATATACGTTATGCTATAATTATTATATAATTATGCTCTTTTTGAAACGAACAAAATTCCTTATTAATTGTATTGCTGCAATATATATATATATATATATATATATTCTCTTTCTTCTTTTACGATGGAAATTTTGTTACTTTCACATAATATAGCTTATTTATTCAGCATCATTTGTGTGCTAATTTAAAGTACCTCGAGTATAATTAAAATTATATTTATATACGATAAATCTCATATTTTGTAATAACTTTATTGACATATTTGAGTTTCAACCGTATAACAAAAAAAATCACTTCTATCCACGCAACTATATACATTTTGTCGTAATTTAAAGAAAAACCGCATTGAATTCTTTATGATTACAAGTTATAGCAAACCTTTCCAATTAGAGTATATATTTGAAATAGCGGGTTATTTGTGCATAAGCTACTAATACTTGAGTAGTTTCGCAGTAATTTGCTCATTGTTTTTTACATTATATTAACCAAGTTGATATTATAAATGTATATTTATACGATTTCTGTCTTTTAACTTTTTTTGCATGCCTCTCCCGCGTCTCTCCTTCTCTTGTGAATGTTTTTATGTGGCACTTGTGGCAGGTCAAGAGAAAGGTATTGGCAAAACCATTCATACATTTATTAATCTTAGAACACTGTTAAAAATGCATGTGTTGGTTATTGAGGCTACATCACATTGCTGTTATCATCACTATTGATGGATCTCGTAGAGTCAACGAAAACTACAAATAACGTTTTAATAAATCAAATTATAATACTGTAATTAGGTATACTTTTCCTGTAATTATATACTCATATGGTTATTAGCAGATGCAAATTTTTATGCAAAAGAAGCCAATCAAATGGAAGTGTATTAAAAAGTAGCAATTTGTATTACATCATATTTATATGGAATAACTGCATTATATGTTTTTGCTTTTATCTTTCTTATTTGACAGAATAATTTTAGGATTTAATCAAAGTATATTATTTTTGATTTGTAAATTCGGGTGTGCTTTGAACAGTTGTTAAGTGAGTTACGCTTTTAATTTTTCATGATTTCCATACAGAGTCTATACGAATATAATTTTGAAGTTTTTATTAATTTTATTAATTAATTAATTAAATAATCGCGATAAACAAAATGTATGGCATGGTATTAAGCTTGCATTACGATATTTACAATAAGCAATATATATATAGCCTGATTATGCTGGGCATTGTAAATATACACGCATCATTTCATTTGCTTTATATATTATTTTATATGTGGTTATTTGATATATTGCTTTTCACATATTAGACAATATAAAGAATCGCTTTAGCGCATCGATATGCTTTTGCATCTGAATGACCTTTTTTGCAGTTTATACATACATTAAATCTTAATCCAAAGTGGCTTAGAAATTTGAAATTTCTTACTAACACGTTTAACAGTAGATATTTATTCTGCAATTAACAGATTGAAATAATTAAGTCATTAATTATACTATCAAGGCCGCGTTATGTATAATTTGTAATTAACATAAAGAGATCGTTAACTCATTTAGTGTACAAATCATATATTCATATCTCATCTAATTTCGCAATCTGATATTGTAATTTGAGCAGTAAATTGAGCGTAATCAATATAGAGAAGTAAATATTTTACTAGCTACATCGTAATTTCCAGATCTATCCGAATTTAATGTTTGTGCATTTTGTTTGATAGACCAAGTTCAGTTCGCGATCTCGAGGCTGGATAGAATTGCCGTCCGATTCCGAGTGCAAATCACGTATTAAGCTACGTTTGGATCATTGCTTGAAAAATCCCGAGGATTCCCGTAGATTGTCGGACGCCAGTCAGAAGGTCATGAGCGACAGTAATAGGCCGGTGTCTCACGACCGCGCTAGATTGCCTGAACAGGACGCTTCGGTCACTACATCCGGCATCAATGTGCATGACAAAGAGGGCGTTATGAATTTATTCGAGGATAAGTTAGAGATGAGAGTCGCCAGCGTAGGAATGGCGCTGTCGATGAGCTCGGTGACGGGTTTGGCGGACTTGGCGGAGGACGAGATCATACCTAAACCGATTCCTATGCAGGTGGGTATAATTCACGCAAAGATTATCAATTTTCTGGATATTACCTCCTTTCGTTTCGAAGCTTCCAAGATTGATTGCCAAACGCGTGTATTATTATTTCAGATATACTTAGAAAATATATCGTTGCGTTTGAATGAAGATCGTCCGCCAAATAACATAACTTCCCCTGGCCCGATCCCGATAGATTTGAATATTTCCAAGCTCAGGATAGCGCGGGACATGAGCGGCGTGTTTCACATCGAGCCCGTTGGTAAGTAGCGGCATCATTAAACGAGGCGCTATCCATTTGTTTCTGCCACTTGCAGTTAACATTGAGTTGACTTTTCTTTTCCGATCTTTATGCGATCTTAATCTTAGCTACGTCGTCCCTGCGCCTGTAAATACACGTACCTGTAAGTTGGTATTACATGGTAGATCTTTTACATTGCGCAAGTGGCAGATTTCTGTTTGGAAGTAATTAATATTACATATTGCATAACTGTTCTCTGCACCCAGGCGGCCTTTCGAATGTGAGCATTGATATAACACATGTAGACAAGTAGCTTTAGATCTCGCTGCTTATTATTATTGCACAGCTTATATATGTTAATATTATTTCATCTAGATATTAATAGATATAGACAAAATATTAGTGCATTTCAGTAAGCATGAATTAAAAGCTTATTGCGTATTATTGTATATAAAGAGAAATTGGTGATTCACCAAGAATCATTCTACTTTTTATTAGTTATCATTTTATGCTTTATATAAGTATTATTTGTTAGATTTATATCTAGGATATAATTATATTTTAGGATGTATCTAAAAATGAGAATTTATTGAACGGAAATTTTTTTCGGTAAATTTGAGATTAGTTGTCTAATTTTAGTAATTTATTTACTCATGAAGATTTATTATGAAGAATTAGATTAATATTGAATCTCAAATTGATAAAAAAATTCTTTGTTATAAATACATGTATCCTAATTAATATTTATAATTATATTTGTCTTATCCACAATTTATATCTATTTTTTATCATAAAAAATTATGTATTTCATATCGCACATATCTGAACATTGGTATGATTAGACATGTGTATATTTATATTAGTACATTCACTTCTTTTTAATTATTATCTCTTCTAAAAGAAATTATATAGTGTTATGTTTGTATGTTTCTGTTGGATTTTTCGATATAACTTCTAGTAGATCAAATAGCGATTTTCTTGTTTTTAGCAACTGCAATAGATGAGATCCATTCAAATACGGCGAGTGACAAAATGCTTAAGAATGCGGAGCACGAGAGGGAATTGAAAGCTCTAAGACAATCCAGCAAGCAGCTGAAATTGGATAACGAAGAATTGAGGCGTCGTATGGGAGCTCTAGAGAGATTATCGGAAGAGAATGCGAGATTAATGCGCTTGAAAGAGGAATCGGATGTAATAAGATCTCGTTTGAGCGCCGCGGAAGACGACATCGCGAGTCTTCTGCAAGAAAAGAAACTTTTACACGAAACCATTTCGGAGCTGCGTAATCAAAGACTGGAAGACGGTCCTGGAGGTAGTAATAGAGCTTCATGGTCTATTAAGAGATAGCACACCAGTTGTTTCGATTGCTCCAAATGTTGCAGTTCCAATAAGTCTTAATCGGTTATATATATTTTCTATAATGCAAAAGAAATTTCTTTCGACAAGTTTAGAATATCCTCATGTAAAGCATAAAAACTTTCAATTTATTTAAATAAAATAATTACTGTTAACGATATAATTTTCAACTTTACATAATGAATTAATGAGGATTAGAATAATTTTAATTTTTCTGAAAAAACTATCAGGTCTATAGCTGTTCTCTAAGACATATTATTCTCGTCTACCGTAATTACGCTAGTAACTGCCGTTTAGATCTTTTGCTTAAAATGTAAAACACAGTGATAAGAATCGTATGGATAAAAAAAAAGAAAATATCAACTTTCTTACCGTGATCGACTACAGGGCGATAATAAATTGCAACGTTAGCCTGTTTTCCGTTTCACTGTGAAATTACCGATCGATCGTACGAATTCTTGATAAGTGATAAATCGCCTGTGTGCCGGCTGTTTATGAGTAGTATGGCTGAAAGTTACGGATGACTGTATTATATTATGTGCATTATTTTGTTTTAATATATGTATAGGTAAAGTATTTCGTCACTTATCTATACATATGTGCTTATATGTATACATATCCTTCTGAAAACGAGGTGAAATATGATAAAGATGCAGAAAAATTAAGAAAACGACTTGTTTGAGTACTGGATTGATATCTGTGTTAATAAAAAAAAGACGTAGCGAGTAACTTTTTCTTTGAAAATAAAATCTATTCGAGCAGAATTCTTACGTATTTGTGCATTCTACTTTTGTCGTGTATTCATATCAGGATTTTTAGGAGGATGTGTATGTACGTGTCATGTACAGACTAAGCAACTGCACTAGTCAGTATATCGCAATCTATTGGGTTGATTCCACAATTGGTTAGATTTTTATATTTTGCTTTCCGTGGACATATGACGAGCAAGAGCATACTGTGAAGCACAATGATTTAAAATGAACGATTGTAACTTTACAATTAGTAATATATACTAGAAAAGCCTACGGATAGACTAAATAGGAAATTGTGACCTGGTGGTATCGCATTATATCATATACATAATTTTGTATCGACTGATTTAACGATTCATCGAATCAACGATGAAAAATTATAAATAATAATAATAATAAGAATAATACGTTGAGGTGGGACGTTTCAATAAGACTGTGTAAAAATTCGGAGATGTTGGTCTATAGTAGTCGCTCTAGAATCTCTCCTTGAGATAATTTATATAAACGTTAGACACGGCGGAATTGAATTGAATGAATTTTCAAAGTGAGATAAAAAAAGAAGATGGATACGATGGATTGCGAATGATGGTCCTTTTAATAAAACGTCTGTTTTAATTTACAATCGGTCCCGATGTAATAGCTTTCTTAGAGTCTCTGATTTCGATAGATTTAATTTCTACGACGGATTGCTGGCCGATCCTACATAAATGGAAAGTATTTTTTTAGTGCGTACGAATACATGATGCGATCGAAATGCGATTTGTTTCATAATGTAAATCTCTTTGCTCTTAATATACACACACACACAACACACACACACACACACACACACACACACACACACACACACAAACAAACAACAAACAAACATATGTCATGTATTATAGATACGCCATTTAGATAGATTTCCATTTAGATGCGGCTTCGAACGTGGCGTTCCCTCGGCAAATATTTTCTAATAAAACAAATAAACAAGTGTATCGTGATCATGTCGATATCTCGTGCGACGATAATCTTGCAATCGCTTGAGACGGTGCAATAAGATGTAGTTATCTAATATTTGACTGGTGAACGCAATGACTGAAGGTAGCATAACATATGTAGGCTTAGAGAAGAGTGAAAGGTAAAAGGTTGAAGTTTTTGTTACTTTCAGATGTACGGATAAGCTTTTTATAATGCACATATCATATCTACAATGAAGGATTTGCTTGTATGTATAACACATTTATATGATCCGATAACGTTTTTATATTGCAGGAACATATTTGCCTTGCAGTTTAATTGTATTAATGTCTCTTATCGTTCAAGTCTGATTTTAGATCAACTTCCTAAAGTTTGCCCATAGTTCCTTTTATGGAGAACTAATTATTTTTACATTAATACAAACATGTTTGGTGCAATAATCAATATATGCATCAAACACGTTTTTATTGTATATTAAAATATATTAAACTAAAGTTATATCTGTTTAAAAAAAAAATCTTCAGAGTTTTAAATATTTCTATACTTTAAATTTAAATACTCCTTTATAAGTAATGGAAAATATTCATATTTCATATGTATACGATATTTTTTTATGTATGTTATAATTTTTTATATATCCTATTTAAAATAGAAATAAATAATTGTTTATTTTCTTCCATTTTCTTGCATAATGGCTTTAAGAATGTATACCAAATATATAACGAAATAACGAAAAGACTTTATATACATATATAATCTATCCAACTAGCTGCAAGTTCTGTGTAGCTATATATCAAGTGGAATTGCTTCAAATAGTGTAAAGCCCGAATTCTTCCTTTTTATATATTTTAAGTACTTATTTGTATTATATAACATATATTTTATTACATCACTAACACAAACTTTAGGAAGTTGAATGTGATGAATTAATTGTATAATTATAATAACCGTTAATGTTACACTTTAACAGAATGCGTTTATAGTTTATAATCCTATTCAGGCTTTCCGATATTTACATTTAGTTGATTTATGATTTAGACAGGAGTTGTCATTCCTATAAGATTCTTATATTGTTACCCGATTTTAAACGTTGTTGTTAGCTTTATTTCTGCCATATTGTATTGTTTTCGATTGATAATATGTTTTTGATTTTAGCACTGTCAACAGAAGATTTTTTCGATTTTTTAATTAATTCCATAACACTTAAATAACTTTGTACTAGTTATTCTAGTTATTAAAATTCCAAAAAAATGTTGCATATATTAGTGAAATGTATATATATATATATATATATATATGTATGAGAAAAGGAGAATAATCATGCCGTTTAGTGCATGAGCACGCGCGCGCGTGCGATATGGTCCCATTTCGTAAATTCATATCGTATATCAACGACCGTGTGATAACATAGTCCGGAGTAACGATGCAGCCATAATTTACGAAATGAACCTATTTTATATATTAAACAGAAATATAGTGCATATATATATTTGAAGATTGTCATTTCAATATCAAAGTGCTAAGGATCCCAAGAGTGGGTTGTGCAATTGTTCCACATTCGTTCATACGGAGAGAGGGAGAGAAAGAGAGAGAGACAGAGAGAGAGAGAGAGAGCATAGATGAATTGACGTACGCTTATTGCCGCGTTCGCTATTTCTCCGTAGCTTTTGTTGTGAAACATTACGATTATTAAATAATTTAAATAGGATAAGTAACAGTTTGGGGATATGCCAATTTGTTCAGTGTAACACTTTAATGAATTATTATATAGCTTTGTTTCGAGCGATAGGGGGGAGGAGGGTGGGCGTACTTTGTTGAAATATATTATTTTACCAAATGTATGTTTCAGCAATATTAAAAGAAAATGTTATATAATCAGTATTGATTAATGCAATACGTGGGCAAATGAGTTATGTAATACGAAAATTTGTGGCTATATTATATATAAAATGAATATATATTATATATATTCATCTTCAAGTTTAACGAAAAAGTACTGTATTATCATTTCAACGACGAATTGTACAAGCATGAGTGAAATTTTAATAATTATATTTCGAGCTTTTTTGTGGAATTAAAAAAAGAAAAGCGATGGCCAAAATGTAGTTTCATCTTTTTAATGTAAGGAAGACGAATATCACTTTCTCAATAAAGTTATTACAAAGGTAAATCGAAAAGCTCCAAGCCTTTCTGTTTTCCTATTTGTACGATTCCTCACAAAAAAAAAATACATACGCGCGCGCGCATATTCTGTGTGTGTGTACTATGTAAACATATATACATGTGTGTATGTTGAAAACACATGTTCACATATGTGTGTACATACATATACGGAATGTACAATATCCAGAAAATTACGTATGTATTTATTTTATTACATTTCATATTTGCATTTATAATCATTAATTATTAAATGTATATATATTATTTTATTCGCACAATTTCCTCAAATTTATATATATGTATATATTTCACATAAAAAAACAGAGTGGAAAGTTTTCGTTGGTTCACTCTGTTATATATGTATAATATATATCATAATTATAATATGTAAAATGAATATCAAAAAATCGTGTGCGTGTCTGTTTTACATTTTCTTAGCTATTACATCTGCTCCTTGTATGTACATACAGATGTTAAATGTATATTACATCGTGCGCACTATTATACGTTTTAACTTAAATTGCGACTCGGAGAGAAATAATCAAATAAACAAAAATATTCTCGGAAACGCAGCTGAGCTGTGCCGGAGAGAGTCCCCACCCCGCCGCCGCCGTCGATGCACTTTCGAACGAGCCGCCGCAGCCAGGCGGCGATTGGCGACAGTGGCTGCAGCCTGCACAGGGCAGCGGTGGCGTTGCACTGCAACACGCAACCGTCGATTGGCAGCAGTGTCGAACGAACGGGAGTCGTGCAGAGCGCAGAGCATCGTGGATCGACGGGACGGGGCACGCACGGCACGTCGACGAGAGGTAAACCGACACCCGATTTACCGGACGAGGACGAGGGGAAGGAAACCACGAGCGACGCGTGTTCGTGCGGATCTCGTGCGGTGTGTGTGCGCGATAGAAGGCGGCCGGAGGACAAAAACAAGGGGTGAAAGAAAGAAGGGGAGCAACAAGGAGGTCACCGTAGGACTCTCGCGGCCCAAGACTGTGTGTACGTATACACGGCGGACGACACGGCACCACACACGGTGTACACACGCGGGGCCCCGGTGGCTGAAAACGTGGTGGAAAAAAAACGGTCGGAGCGGCGGGGCGGAGGGGGGGGGAGGAGATGGGAGAGGAACCGTGTTTGTTGTTCGCTCGCTGCGAGGACGGTCGTTTTGAAACTCGTCGGGCCTCGTCAGTTTTGGCCGTGCCACACCGACCGCCTCCTCGCGTCTCGCGACTTCGTGCAATTCCCTCTTCGTTAGAGTACAGAGCCCGCGTGCCAGGCTTTATCACGTATCGCACGATCATGTTCCGGACAAAATGGTAAACTCTTTCCATCTGACTGCTTCAATCCCGCACGTAAATCCTCCCCCGCGTAGATTCGCGACGTATCGTCCACCACGTTCCCGCCCGCGATCGACCGTCTCGCCCGCGATCGAGAGCGCACAACCGAGAACATGCGGAGTTACCGAGACCTAAATATGATTTCTGTTTTTCAGCAAGGAGCACGATCACTCGTCGTTCTACAAGTTCTTACAAATGGAGCACAACCACAAGAATCTGGACTGCTACTTCTTCTACTATTCCACGTGCAAGAAGGTAAGCGGTCGACTCATCCGCGGAAGCAGGGGGCTGCTCTCCTCCGCCGTTGCCGATCGCACGTCGGCCGATTATCCGTTACCCCCGACGTGCTTTCGACAAGCGTGCAGGCATGGTCGTTCCATATTGCTCGGCTCCGCCGAGGTTAGGTCGGCCATCTTGATGCCATGTTGACAGAAATTTCTTATAAAAGTTCAAATACGAATGTGCGATACAGGTCAATCCGCTTGTTAGGATTCCTGCTAAATTCAGACGGGCTTCCCCTCGTCTATTCGGTTACTTACATGTGACACGGTTTTTTTTTCTTTACTAACCTATGTTATGACTTCACCATTTGAATATTTTGCAACATATTACAACGTGAAAAGCAAATACCTGATCGAATTTGCATGATTGTGTAACTACTTTTGTTATCTGTGTTCAAAAAATGTTTTACTTTGACATACAGTTTATATGTATTTTGATAAGATTGAGCGATTGAAAATATTCTGTGGTCAGTCATATACATATAAACGAACAATTTTATTTTCTGAAATATTTGAGAATGTACGTTTAATCACACGCTTGCAGTATTGACAATGTGATTTGGCACTGCAAGCCTGCGTGTTGCTCATGTGAATTGTGATGTTTGAACGAGTTGTTGAATAACTTTTGTCATTTTGTCATTTTTTTTTTTACTCCCGCAGGGTGACTTTTGCCCGTATAGACATGAACCATCTGCTCTGGGTTGTGAAACAATGTGCACGTACTGGCAGCAGGGAAATTGCCTTAATGAACATTGTAACTTCAGACACATGGAATTAAAGGTAAAAATCCTGTACTGATCTTGCGACAATCGTTTGGCAGCAGTCTTTCCGTATCTTGCAAGTAAAACATGATTCAATCAGCCTTTGTCAATAAGAACTATTTTCATGGCTTATTGACAATTTTTTAAACATTATTTTGACATCACAGTGGAATAGGAACTAAATTTATTGGAATATAAGTTTAGGAAATGGATTAATATTGTTATGTCATTATTTTATATTCACAATATTTTATTTTCGCATATTTTATTTTATTTCCGCAGACCACAAGTCGATTGCTTTTACTCGAAGCCACGCGCCTTTCCAAAAATTTGACTAAGAATTATTCGTTTGAATAATAAGTAAACAACAAGTGAATTTATGTTTGTTTAGAACAGGAGTTGACAAAGCATAGATTACAGATCATATCTGATCTATTATTTGTTTTTATACAACCTGTAATTGTTGGATTTTTAGTCGACATTTGTTTTTTCTTTTATATACATACCTACATAATACTTTAAATTTTGTCTGTTGGCCCCTGCAAAGCCTAAAACATTTACTGACTGTCTGGCCTTCTCTAGAAACAAATTTCCCGACCCCTGGTTTAAAGGATAATAGGCACAAATTAGCAAGAGCGGATAAGAAACAAAGTTATAACGAATGAACATCTGCTTATCAGTTTTTTTTAAATATTAATCCATATATTCTCTAAACAAACAATTTTTATAGCTGATTTGTAATAATTCTTGCAAAATACACTTATTTACATAATGCGTTAAATTTACTGTGTCGCAAAAACATCTGTGCTTATCGGTTCGCACCGATCTTTACATCCTCGTTTAGATCATACATTTCAAGTTTATACATGAAAAATCATGTTCTGCTGTTATGCAACATTTTTGATTATATCATCGCGGGAAGAGATTAATGATTTGTCATTCTTTTTTTTTAAGTACAAAAAGAATTGCCAGTAATTTTTGATAGATTTTTAAAATATTTATTGCTTAGTTATGAAATATTATATTCTATATTATACAAAATATAAATGTTTAATTTTAATAATATATGCTTAATTTTATCAATGTAATAATATATATAGCTACTTTTTTATCTTTTAAAATTTCTCAAGTAATTCTGTTTGAATAAATGATTACAAATAGTACCTGGTTATGAAGATTAGTGACATTTGAATACCGTAATGATATTTATGATTAATTAAGATTACGAAATTTTTTTAATCGTAAGAAGAATTAAGCTTAAACTATTTATATTTGCAGAAAAATCGTAAATCAATTCCTTGTTATTGGGAAACACAACCTGGAGGATGTAGAAAGCCACATTGTCCATTTATGCATACAAGTCCACGCACTATTTCTAGTGACCCTATTAACCCTGTGAAGACCACAGAAGTAGCAACAAAATCTCCGAATCAAGAGTGGCTCAATCGTCAAGGTATGTATTTTTTAATTATGCTAACACGTTTGATTAACATTAGATGGTAAATAGAACTTATTTAACCAGGTGTAACCTTGATTTTGACAAAAACTGTGTTTATCATAAAGATTTATGAGTCGTTTCGTAGTCGTAATTATTTGTGAATTATTTTTATTTTAAAATCTAAAAGAATATTAAACGATTATAAGTAACACGTTATAACGATTTCGTTTATAATGTTTTAATTAAATCTAATAGGGATTAAAGATAACGTTACGTATTTAGAATTACATATGATAAATATAGATAAGATAGGATAAGATAAATGTGATAATAAAGAAATGGATATATCTCGCGCATATGGCAATATCGCGCGCATGGACAAGTATGTTTACACTTTTTTATTCCATAAAGATGACCCAAAGTATGACGGCAGCAGTACTACTGAGTCGGACCAAGGTAGAGGAAACAGCGAGGCTGGTAGTTTTATCGGTAGTCCCGCCGTCGATCCTCTCATCGTCAAATTCGAAGAAGGTATGAGGCTTTACTAGCCCCCCCGTCCATCTTTCAACGTACATTATCTTACGTCAGCTACTCTCTCTCTACCGCCTAGCTTGCAAACAAATATGAATCTCCCGAACGCGCTCAATATCCCGAAGAGCCTGACAATCCCCAACAATCCTAACAGTCTCAACATCCCCGGTAACATCAGCGTCGCAAATAACCTAAACGTCCCGCCGGCGAACTCGCAATCCTCCCCCTGTCACCATCACACGCTATCGTATCCGCATCATCAACAAAATTTACACTCCCACTCCTCCGGGCAGTCTCTGTCGTCATTGCAAAATCAACAGAGCTCCCCCCTCCTCCAGCAATCGCCGTACACGTCGATTCATACGCAGCAAACCCCGCAGCCTCAGACCTCCCGGTTCCCCTTTCCGTTCCTCGGTATAACGTCGTACAGGAGATTTTAAAATCTACGAGAAACTATATTGTAGTTTTTGCATACGACGTATGTATATGATTTTCCTCGTCCATCAATTAGCAAACAGAAAAATACTTTCGAAGAATTCACGAACGGTTAAAATCTTTCAATTTTCTTACCGACCAGATCGCTCCGTTGAGTCTGTCGCGCGTACAGCTAGGATTTCAACGTATTTTGCACCAAAAGAAAGAAAAAAGAGAAAAAACGAGATGAGTTACTACGAAAGTATCGTTCTGCACGAAGAATTGTATAATATAATTCTGTATATCTTTCTAGCAGCGAAAGATATGTAACAAAAAAAAGTCCTCGTGTCGATCTTAGCATAATATTTAATTTACAGTACTAGTGCATTCCCGACACTTATTAATCGACACCTCCAGTTTTTTCACTTTTTCTTTTGTTTCGTAACACCATAGATCGATCCAATGAGCAACTAATGCAAAAAGAAAAAAAATATTCACGCATACGTCAATATTCGTAAGCTGTGTAAAGCTCTAACATGATTTATTAAGGATCCTATTATACATTGGTTGCTCTTATTGCGATGGTAATTTACGTTTGATTTACCGTATACACACGCATAATTTTACATCCATTCGTGTGTTGTCACGGGAAAGCGGGATAACATGCAATATTTATTGAAATCGACTCTTTAAAAAAAAAAAAATTGGCATTTATCGATAATCTCACGTAATATGATCGAAGCACTATCGCGCATATTATAAGTCGATCTTATCGATATACCTTCGCACCTCGTGTGTTACCACGAAAAATTTAGTAGTGAATATCAATTTTTGCAGGGGCTGCTTTATCTAAAATTTGCCTAAATTAGCCCTCTAATCGCCTATGGCTATCTTTCTCCGGCTGCGGGTGCGATCGGGCTCGAATTACCAGAATGTGGTCTAAGTTATGAAAGACGAGGTTCAAGTGTCTCCCGTCGATACGACGTCGTGCGCTGTAAGATCGCGAATGCAAGAGCCGTGTTAAACGAAGAAGAAGATAGCTATGGGTCTCCGCTTTACCACACACGCACATACGCAAAAAAACATCTTTTGCATTCACACACAGATTTTTTTGCTCCTTTAGTTGCGAAAGGCTGGAATTTAAATGTTAATCGAGTATTAATAACACGACGAGTGAACCCTGCTCATTTTTAAGTTTGCGTCTTTGACGAAAGAGCGTTTTTTTGTCAGCATTTAGTAAGTTTATTTTAAATATCGCTCCCATAATGTGGACTTGCATCACACCCCCCGACGTGGCCGATCGAAGGAAATGTAGATTATTATTGTACGAGTACATAAATCGGACTAGCCGACTCGTATCCGTTTCACTAGGGAAGGAAAGTAAAGAGAGAGACTTGCGCGCGTTGTTCCATCGGTCACGTCCCGGGCTGAGATAAGTGCAATGTGCGAAATATATTATAGTGAAAGATAATTGAAATATTTATATCTGAACCGATCAACGCGCATATACGCTTTCTTTGTTGTCGCATTATTATGTGTGAGTTATTGTAGAGGAAGAAAGAGGAAGAGAGGATGGCAGAGGAGAGAAAGGAAATGAGAGTGAGAAAGAGATGGAGAGAAAGAGCGGGAGAGATTGGGAGAGAATGCGTGAATGATTGACTGTAGCAAAGGTTGCAGAGGGAGGGGAGAGAGAGAGAGAGAGAGAGAGAGAGAGAGAGAGAGGATGAGGTTTAATGAACTAGTTGATATTCGCGCGCGAATCCGTGTTTGAGGTTTAAACAGATTCCAACTGTGCGTCCTTAGCCTTGTGTTTTACGCGTGTACGAGTAATAATGCCTTCATATGTTTTGGCTTCTCACGTGAATTAGAAAATTTCGGGACGGCGAAAGTAACGGGATAAACGTGATGTCGCGCTTCACGCTCGAGTCTCGATGCCCGCGCCGGGCAATAATTTAACCCAAATTTTCGTAGGCCACGATAATTCCCGTTGTGCACTCGGGGAAATTTAAAAAGAGAAAAGAGAATCGAAGGAAAAATAATTAAATGTAGGTTTAATACTGTATAAGTCGAGCGTGATTTTTTGACGCTCTAAAGAAAAAGAAAATGTTCAATAATTCGGCTTAGAAGCTTGCTTTCTACGTGATAATGTTAAACGCGAGGTCGTTTATCGTATATCAAGTAAGAATACACAATTGTCAGAAGTATACATATACTGATTCACGTTTTACGAGTTTCCGTATGATAATAGGATATTAACTCCTTAATTGAGGCGCTGAGAAAATTGAGTATGTGACAGAGCTTGAAAAAAAAATTCTAGTTAAGTGCCGATGATGTAGCGAGAGGATATAATATCTCAATATAATATAAAACTTTAGCTTTTATTTTTACTAAAAAATACATTTATTTTGCGTGTTCTCAGCGCCTCAATTGATATATCGCGCATTTGATATTACGGGCCTGTTAGGCCAGCAGAAGGTTTAAAAAAAAAAAGAAGAAAATGCTCTTATTCATCATGTTATATTACTTATCGTATTATTGATCTTGCACCGATGACAAATTTTATAATTGAGGAAAGTATAGTGCGGGATAAGATACGATGTGGTCTTTTACAATAGTAATAAATCGCGTCGCGGCCAAAAGGAGGAGGGAAGGACGCGAGAAGACGTTGAGGAGAAATATATAACGTAAATCATTTATAGCGGGGCCCCGTCGGTTTTCCCGGGTTTCCCATAGCGATTTTTTTTTTTTCGAGTCAACGGTGCGTATGATGACATGACAGGCTAAATGATATAAGAGGCCAGCGTCCTATCGTTATAAAACACACGTGGCAAAAGAGAGAGGGGGAAAAAAATTATGAGATTTTATGAGGAAATTTTTGAGATAATTGAGTTGAGTGTGAGCATGTAATAGGAAATAATCGGCTTAAATGAACATGTATGTGTGTATCTATGTGTGTGTGTGTGTGTGTGTGTGTGTGTGTGTGTAATAGAAAGTGCGAGAAAGAAAGGGAGAAAATGAGAGGGAGAGAAAGGAAGAGAGAAAACGAGCGAGATTGAGGAGAGAGAGAGAGAGAGAGAGAGAAAGAGAGAAAGACCTCAAATCGAACGTATACACATCACACGTACCGCGTATCTCTGCGCGAAATATGCGCTATGCAGATAGGAAACTAATAATTTTTCTTATTCAGCATATAATGTTTTACACATATATATTATATATATTATATATTTAACTGCTACACAGGGATATAAATATTTATGGTCGAGATATCGATGTGTTGGGTCGCGCGGGCCCGTCTTTTTTCCTTTTTGGAATACTTGTGTGATCGGCTCATCGCGGTTATATCCCGCGCAAAATCGCGCGTGTCTCGGGCGGGCAAGGATTTTGTGCCTTCAGCCGTATGGAGTCGCCAGTCCGTGTTTTTGTGTTCGCGAAGTATCAGGGTTCTCAGACGGTGTCCGCGTCTCTTTTTTCTTAAAAAAAAACCGGGCAGAGCACACGAGATGTCGGGCGATTGTCCGCAGATGGATTTGCACGTCGTTTTATCGATCGGTGGGAAGGACGCGCAAGTCTTCCAAAAAAAACCAGGGGTGGACGATCGAACTCGATCGCGAGGATTTATGAAATTGTGCGTAAGAGAGAACCGGTAAGGCACACGGATCACATGGCTGCGCCGCGAGTTTGAGAGACACAAAACAAAAGTAGCGACGAGCAATATGAATATGTGGGGGAAGAGGTGCAGAGTGGATGCGATGAGAGAAGGATTGAACGAGAGGGAGAGAATGCGATAGACGTGTGTGCGTGCGTAGAGAGTGCGTAAAAGTGCGAGCCAGATGGTAGTGCGAAAAGGAAAAAATAAAAGAAAATAGTAAAGGATTAAAGCGGCGGTCCCTTCCGCTGCCTCTTCGAGGGGCTTCGCCCGCCTTCCCTTTCTCGAGGGACGAAATCGTGATCCGCGCGCGGCGGATCCGTCGATTACATATAACGTCTGTTCGCAGCTATTAACCGCGTATCGGGGGGGAAGGGGGGGAGGAGTTAATCAGCAGGACCGACGGGGATCGGCGATCCTTCGTCGGTCGGCGTCGACGGCGCGCGAGTCCTTTCTTTTTCTGCTCGTTAGCGAGCTCGTCGCGCCGATCGTCGCGGGATCTTGTAACTTCGCTACGTGCGATCGTACGACAGCCCCCCGAACGCGTACGACGCTTCGCGTTGTCTTGCTCGGATGTGAGACGCTCCCGTCTCCGTACGTCGCCGTGTTACTCAGTCGGCGGATACGCGGGGCGTTGCGGAATGTTGCGATCAAGCCAGTGACCGATGTAATTTAGACGTACTCATGTCTCAATATTGCGAGCACGCGACGTTGTTTCTCCCACAGGTCGCCGCGCGGCCTGCGGACTTCGCTTCACTCGTTCCGCGTACGTGCGCACGCTCAGGAAGGCGCGTCTGTGCGTCCGAGTTAAAAAAGACAACACGTACAAACAAATAAACAAACAAACAAAAACACACACACACACACACACACACACACACACACAAAGATAGAGAATATTATATACATATATATTACATATTATATATATAGAAATATGTTACACGCGAAAAGGGAGGCGGTCGCGTGTAACACGACCCCTCCGCCCTCCCCTCTCCCCATTTCTGTAAGATCATTGTTTCTAGCGATTTGTTAATTTGATTTCTGTCTACGACGAATTATAGAGAACGCAAAGAAGCGATCATCGTCGTCATTATAAGTGCGTGTGCGTACTTTGTTTCGCCGACGCCTCTCGCATTCGACGTTCGCAAAGGAGAATTGTCGCGATCTCTCCCCCCCCTCTCCCCCCTCCTCCGGGAGGGGAAGGATGATTTGTTGCGGGCTCGCATGACGATTCTTTTTAACAGTTGCCAGATAGATTGCGAAAAATCGCGGCGGTTCGCCACGATGGAGAATCGCCGGAATGCGGGATGCGTCGGGCGCAATTGCGAGCGCGTATAAGAGCGAATCGAGCGAGTGAGAGAGCGGCGGCCTTTCGAGCCGCCCTTTTCTTCCGATCTTTACTTTCCCCTGTTGTCTCCTTCCCCTCCCTCTCCGCTTTCCTCCCTGTCGATGGACGTTCCTCCAGGCCCTTCTCTAAGGCTCGAAGTCTCATCGATGTGAATCCGACCGACTGCCCCTCCCACCCTCCCCCCTGATTACTTTGTATCCCCCTTTTTATCTGTGCCCCTCCCGACTTCCCCTCGTGGTTCATCACCTCGCGACACCGGAATCACCTCCCCGTCGATTAGCCCCTGCGCGCGCTAATCGAGTCGCGAGCTGATGTCTCTTTTCGTTTCCCTCGGCCGTGCGCGCGACCGAAGCCCCGCTTCCTTACGTTCTCTCGTTGTTTCTTCTCGTTGATTCTCCTTTCGGTTCTTCCTTCTATTTTATTTTTTTTTTCTTGATTTTTTTTACCCCCCCTTTTTTCCCCTCCCCAACGCGTTTTGCTCCCGTGCGCGGCCTCGGTCGCGTCGCGATCAGCTACGCGACGAACTATACGGACTCGTGTGTACAGTCGACGTAACGGCAAGCCGGGGGACGGCGTTTCCTCGGTCCCGCGAACCGCGGCCTCTCGACGGCGGCCCCGATCCGATCCATTCGGGAAATCATCGATCTGTCTCGTGGACGAGAAACAGACGTCCGCAGCGCGGACGAGACTCTCGGGAGTTTCGCCGTGGACGATTCGGGGCACCGGCTGGGAGAACTCGGGACGCGTTCCCGCGGCGATGGGATCAACGACGATGATGACGATGACGACGACGAGGATAACGTTGAACACGACAACCGGGGCGACGGGGACGTCCGCCGATTGTCGTTACGTCGACTCGAAACGACGGCGCGGAAACGCGCGTTCGTTCTGCTTCTCTTATCTCGAACGCGAACGATAAAGAAATAAAAGAGAGAGAGAAAGAGAGAGATTGATTTAAAAAAGAAAAGGAAAAAAAAGGAAGAAACGAAAGAGCCTTTTTTGTCGGCCGACCGTGGACGGCCGAACGTGGAGGAGGAGAAAGATTGATTATATGCTAAAGAGTAAGCGATGCGCAATTTAACTATAACGAATTGATGTAAGCGAATGGAAAAAAAATCAATACTTTTCATTGAGAATGATATCTGGATTTCAATAAACTTGATACCTCGAAACTAGCCGGACAATCGACCCGGAGAGCGAGCGGTGTTACCGGTACCGCGGTGAGAATCTAATGTCACCCGGCGTTACCGGCGACGCTCTTCTCGATGGGGCCTCTTATTTCACTTCTTCTCACCGACTTCCACTACTAATCGTTCATTCGTTTTACAATTATTATTATTATTTTTTTTTTTTTAACAATTGATCGTGGCCTGTATCGGCCTCCGCCGATTTCGCGCGTTCTTCTAGATTGAGACGACGATCGAGACGGACTTGCTATGTAAATCGTTGTACAAGTAAGTATTATATCTGTAACTCTGTGCTCGCGAAGTGCGAATCAAAGTCTCCCGAGTGTGTTCGAGAAACACCGCCGTTTCGAGGCAGCAGCAGCACCAACGCAAAAGCGACTTGTCGAGTGACCGGTCTTAAATTGATAGAAGTAAGAATAAAGGAAAAATGGTATCTTGAATGAGGTGTGTGTGTGAGAGAAAGGGAGAGAGAAAGAGAGCGAGAGAAAGAAAATATAATAGATCACGAGACAACCATCGCTCATCGGCTGAACGTAAAAAGTTTAGATATAGATATGTGTGTATGCGCGTACGTAAGGATATATATTTTACCTTTTCTCTTATTCGCATGTGAGGTGATTGCCGCTTTGCAAGACGGAGATGAGAAACATGGATTGACTATTAGTGCATTAAAATGGATTTATCGATGATATCGAGGATAATGGGAAGAGTGCTGTAAAGAGCGTTTCTGTTAACGGGTACGACTGCGTCAAGAAAAGAGAATGTTAATGCGTGGGAATAAAAACTCGATGTTACGGCGAATCAGTCGGATGAATAAAGAACTTGTGGGATATAAGTATTATAAAGAAACACGAAGTTTCTGAACTAAGTCTAAACCTCCTCGAGGCCGGAGGAAAGACACGACCGAGATAACGGCCAGCGAAGATCAGCCTGGAAGTTAGATACGACCTCGTGGATGTTCGGAAAGAGTCAGCGATGAAGGCTGTGCCTGAGTTTTGCCCAGAACCTTCTCGGAGCGTGCGCGCGTGAAACGCGGAATTATTATTACGAAATTCGAAGAGCATCTGAAAACAGTTGCGATTGTGAACTGCAAGGAAAATCCGAGACACATATATAGATCCTAACTCGACTATTCTAATTTCCATTTGCACAAAGTAAGATTAAATCCATACTTTCTGGAAAATGTCATGAGTCGGATGATAGACACACAGATTGAGATCGACAGGTAATCTGGTACTGTAAATAAAATATGTATATATACATAGAAAGAGAGAGAGAGAGAGCGAGAGAGAGAGAGAGAGAGAGAAAGAGCGCGAGAAAAGAGGGAGATAAACGCAAAGGGAGAGTGAGAGAGAGAGAGAGAGAGAAAGCTGATTGTGTAATAATAATCGTCATCCAGTGACATCTTCGCCGAATGTTCGAAATGGTTATTTGACCCATCATTCTTCATATGTTTCTTCCAGAATCCGATAACGAAAGTGCACCGTCGCCGGTAAAATCACAGCCCAAGGTACCGTATTGCAAGACCTACGAGCAGATGAGACTTGAGGAGATCCAAGCAGAGAGCGCGGCTTATTATTCGTATGAAGCCGACAACGACGATGGACTTTATCAGAGACAGATTGGCCAGCCTAAGACGGCCGGGGCTAATCGGTGGGTCAGTCCGTCACGGATCAAGAAAGACGAACCGACGAAGGAACTGAGCTTCAAGGTGTTGAGCCTGGAGGAGATTCGGCAACGAAAGCGGGAGAGAGAGCTGGCCGTTAAAACACCAACGGACACGACGTCCGTCCCGGAACTCACTCCGTCACCGGTCGGAACGAAGAGCGTGAAGAGGCGCTCGATGGAGCAACATTGCGACAAAGAGAGCGTCAGTCCGCCGAAGAAGTGCAAGGTCAGTTCCGAGAGTAGCGAACTCGTCGCCAAAGTGCGACCGGTGAAGCTGCGAAGGTCTCTGAAGAGGGAGACCGAGACGCAGCCGTGCGGAGACGCGGCTACGAGCGAGCGTGGGACGACGGGTGGTCAGGACGACCAGACGACCTCTTGTCGCGAGAGGCTGGAGAGCCACGGCGACGAGTCGGTTAACGCGAACAGGAGGGTCGACGTGGAGATTAGGCTGTGCGACAGCAGCACGAACGAGGAGAGAACGCAGACGCAACCGGAACAAGCGATCGAGGACAGAAAGTCGGTCGCCACGTATACGACGGAGGATATTATGAGCACCGCGATATTGGACATTCAGCCGTATACGCAGACCGACGAGGAATACCTGAGGCTCGACACGTCGTCCGACGATATCATGAAGGATATCGAGGACTTGCTCAAGTAGAAAAGCGTGATTCGAGCGATTTTAAGCGAATCCACGCGAATAAACGGAAATATCCAGCGAATATCCAGCGCGCATTTCTTTTTTTCGGCAAGGTTTAAAAAGAACCTTACATAAAAGTATAATTTGTATACTTAAAGACTTGTACAAATACACGTTTAAAATACAGATAGATATAAAGCTTACTCATCGTGCAAGAGATAGAATGGTTATGATTTAAACACGATTATATTCAATCAATTGTTGATATATTGAAGTTCCATTCTTACGCTTTAACTTCAGCAAATCGTGCTGTATGGTGTTACATCACGTTTTTTTTTATCACAATAAGAAAGTGTGCATTAATTTCAGTATGCACATTAATTCACGTTTCTTTTGTCTGTCCTTTTCGTATTTTTTTATTTTAATCATGGAACTTGCGAAGGATTGCAATAATAAGTTATGATAAGACATTCTACACGTATAACCAAAATAAAATTTAGTGATCGGACTGATACGGAATGATATGGCTTCTGTTACGCGTTTCGAGAATAAAATGCAGATACATAAGAGATTTTAAAAAAATACGTTTATACGTAATAAAAGAGCAGCATAAACTCGTTTTAATATTTACACATGACATGCGCTTGCGTTTAAAAATTTAAGCCAAATCGAACACACACATATATATATATTGTAAATGTATATTTTCTTCTTTCGAGTTCCGAAAGGATTTCTTTTTCTTATCAAATTACGACTAAAATAATATTATATACCTAATATATAATATTAAATATAATATATATATATATATATATAAAATACACAATGCTATATATTATATATTATTATATAATATTATTATATTGCAATTTAATCTATATATAAAATTATATAGGTATATATTTAAAACATATATAAGTTATAATAATTATAACTTATATAATTACGATATTGTTATATAATAATTATGTAAATGATATAACAATATATTGTTGCATATTAATTATATAATGATAATGTTATGTGTACTGTTGCAATTTATAATATTAATATTATCCGCTGGCTCTACCCTTGGATTACTTCCTGCTACTTCATAGCTTTTTGACTTAGAGAAATAATTTTTTTAAATAGGCACAGACAAATAATTAAATGTGCGCATTTTTTTTTATAATCCACTGCTTTTATTAGCTCATTAATTGCAATCAGTTCTGTCGTCTAGCGTGATTCAAACTTATCCATGAGTATTATTTCAGAAGAAATCCAGGGTTAAATGCGCCAGCAGATCGCAATGGATGATTTCTAGTGAGGATTTAGAGAATACAACATGTCTTCGAGTGTAAATTAATTATTAAGTTGAAATAAATATACAATTGTTACATTTGCAAGGTAAAACGATGGTCTCCGCTTGCATCCCGCTTTCCATTATTTCCTACGAGTGATTCGATTGGACGACAATGCGGGAGGGGTAAGTACAAATATGAGTTATCGGGTCGAGAAAGAAAGAGAAAGAGAAAGAGATGAACATGTTCGGGAAGGAATTGCGCTTGATTTCTAATAGGAAATTGCACACACGATCGTTATATTCGTTTGCCTGACAAGCCGGCATTAGACGCGTGCGACTGGCTCGCTCTCCGTAATTAAGATTTGATATTTAAAACAGGAGAGCGCGATTGCCACACGCCGGAAATCTCGCAAATAAAATCTCCAATTAGAAAACAAGCATTGAAAGAACTCTCGATTAAATGCACACACTATTTATTTAGAACGTATAATCGTACCGTTATTTAATAACATACCTGGCCTAAGAGAAATCACAATCGGCATGTTCGGTCCTTCTGTCTTTCTTTTTTTCTCGAACCTTGCACCGAATATAAATTACGAATTGATTTTTACCAAGTTATTAAGAGAATTAGAGTCAATTATATATATAAATAATTATGTACAATTATATACGCAATTATTATATTTAAATAATTATGTATATATATAAATGACCGTTTCGGATATTCTCCTTACGATGTACACACAACAAACTCACGTTTATTATCTCCTGGCATCCTCGTTTCACGAGTATAAATAATAACGTAATACCGACTTAGAAACTATTTTATATTTTCTCTCTCCCTGCCTATAGAAGTTACACCTACGAAACGTTGCGAATAAAAACTCTCCGCGGGGATCCTCAGGAGCGATTTCTCTTCCTTCTTCAATCTTCGCGCTAATTATTTTTACACGAGTTGCACATTGCCGACGATTCGTATATATTCTTTTTTTTCCCCTTTTTTTTCTTTTTGTTTTGCCGCGTCTCGCCTTGCTGAGTTCTATCTCTCTAAAAAGATGTCTCGGCTCGGGAGGTATAATTGTATGTGAATTAAAAGGGACCTTACAAAGGTGTACGTATGCGCGGATGATGCCTTGAGAGATTTTTTTTTCCACCTTACCGATCATTCATGTGTCATGCCATACGAAAATTCATGGATTGTCACTGATTGGCGTTATTAATACGTCTAACAACGATTTGTTCCTATGACTTATACTCTGATACGACATCGAAATAAAGAGGAGGTGTGTGTGTGTGTGTGTCTCTTCGCACATTACGATACCAAACACCGTTAGTGAAAGTGCGGAAAAGCAGCAATTAGTCGTTTCGCCTATAACGATGAGGGATGGACATGATCGGAAAGTGTCGCAAGTGTGAATATCAATCTTTTTTTTTTTTAGCACGGGACACGGGAATTCGATTTGACGGCGATAAGATTCACGATAAGTTTATACACAGAGGGTATCTCTCGATTAATCCGCCTGTAAACTCAATTGAATGCCGCAATCTTGTATTGCAATTACACGAGTACTACACCGTAGAGATTTGTTGCTCGGTTTTACACAAACGGCGAGTCACGATAGAGCCATTCAGTTAAGAATTGAGTTCTTCCTCGCCCTCGATCCGGAGGTTCGACGGTACGGAAGATTTCTGAAATCTTCGTGCCTCGGATGAGATCTTCGTCGGTAAGCGCCAGCGAATTCGCAGTGACGTTTCCTCGAAATTTCCCGAAATGTCGCACTCGTTTGACGAAAAGAAAAAAAAAAGACAATGAAATAAAATACGAGAGTAGCGGACGCGAATACGGACAGATCAAACTCGGATTCCAATGCGGAACTTTGGCTTGAACGTATAACGTACGGGTGCCGATAGCCCACTTCGATTTATACTACGGAACGCACGATCGACCATAACGCGCGAACTTCCGGAGACTTTGCGCTCCACGATCGCGTGACCTGCGTGTCGTTTTTTTTCCCGCGCTGCACGACACGGGACCGTGAAGCTCGGGAGATGAACAAGCTGAAGTCTACGGAGACGAGGTCGACATCGACGACCACCACGGTCACTGCAGCCTCGGTGACCAGTATTGCGCCGCCATGTCGGGTGCCGGTTGACCTGGTACCGCGATCGGCACACTCACGCCAGGTGATATTAGACCTGCAAGAGAATCCGTGATATTCTGTTTAATTTCACGAACGTCAAATTTCATGCGAGAATCACATGCAAGTTTTTTCCAAAAATTTAATTTCGTAGTTGATTTAGTTAAGAAAACACAGTATATTTTATTAGACAAAGAGAACAGGGAGTATTTTTATAAGAATCTCCATTTTTCATGTTGTTTTTTTTTCGTTAATTTGTTAAAATATCATCATTATTAAAAGATAAATAATATAAATATATAATAATATAAATATATAAATAAAAAAATAAAAATATATATAAATAATATAAATATAAAAAACGGGATAATTTTTATAAAAATCTTAATTTCTTTTTATAAGTGTTATCCTTGTACGTGTTGTCCTTTTTTCTGTTAGAATATTATTTCACCATTTCATTGTTTTTGAAAAATAAATAATAATTCAAAAAACCAGTATAAAAAAAATATTAATGACAGATTGAACAATGTGTTCGCAAGACATGCACGACGCCTTGCCAACATGAATTGCACATCGATCTATTAACATCTACAATCTACTAACTACCGAATAGAAACAAGAAGCGTTCAGGCGGCTAATGTAGGCGACGCAGGCGAGTAATGTATATGGACATGAAGCTAGATCGCGTTTGTTATTGCGGATGTTCAAAAGGTGCAAAAGAGAGGGAGAATTGGAGCCGTTCGAATCCCAGGGATACTTTGGGGAAGGGGGGACGGAGGGCCGGAGAGGACGAAGGGGTGACAGAAGCGTGTATAATCCATTACCGGCGGGCTCGATAGCGTGTTATCCATGGTAGCCGTAGTAGTAGTCCATCGGCTAGAGTGCAAGCAGCGAATGCAGTGAGTGCGGTAGACACTCACCGGTCGAGCTGGCGTTCTGATTGTACTGATTGAGGCTCGCCGCGTGGTAGGGCTGCGTAGGGCTGCAGGTTGGCCGGGCGCCGTACCCCAGGTGCAGAGGCTCGTAGCTCGGCGGTCTCGCGACCCCGCACGAATAGCCGTTGTCCCGCTGCTGGAGGCACGCGCCCGGGCTCGGTCCGACGGTCATGCCCACGGTCATGCCCATCGGGCTCATGCCGCCGCCGGTCGACAGCGAGGACATGCTACTCGTCGTGTGCTGATTCTGCTGGCTGGCGCCCGACATCGTGAAGCTCGGCATCGACGTCATCGGGCTGCAACGCGAAGGGAAAACGATTTCGTGAGCGTGCGTTCGCGCGATCCCGTCCGTTTCTTTCCTCCGTCGAAAGTTAAACTCTTTGCGAAGGGCGAAGGACAGTGGGTACATTTCGCTTCGAAGGAGCCGACAAGCGTCTCTTGCGTCTCAAATCGCGCGCGGATTCGCAGATCTTTATAAATCAATTTCTCGTTGGTAGAAATGAACATTAGAGATTTGGCTGACTTAAATGTGTACAGCACTCCGTACTGCTGTAGTTTAATCACAGCATCTTATTTCTGAGTGGTTCCGCAGTTCACACTACTATGAAATATTAAGCTAACTGTAAGCCTAATTCTTTTAAATAAAGTGGATTGAATCATAAGATTAACAGCGAAGTCAAGGATTAGTAGCCATCTCGGGAAAATTTAGCCTTCGATAGGGGTCGATGAACTTCGCGTCTTTGCGTTTCTCACCTGTACGAATCGGGCATGCTGGGTATTCCGGGGTACACAGCGGTGGGCGCAAACCCGTGGTGTATTCTGGGGGGCGAGGGTGGTGCCTGCGGCGGCGGCTGGCCCCCGAGTATCCCCGAGGGTGGCGGCGGCGTCGGGTGGCCAGCACCCACCAGGCTCACGCCGGCAGTGTGTTGCTGCTGTTGCTGCTGCTGCTGTTGCTGCTGCGGCGGCGGCGGATTATCCCTCCGTTGCGTGCGCAATTTCTCCTCGCGCCGCCACTTGGCCCGCCGATTCGAAAACCAGACCTGAGTTAGTGAACGAGAAGACAGACGAAGATACAGGTCAAGTCGCTAGGCTACGGATAACTTTCGTATTGGCTGACAGTCGTGGATGAAACGGTTCGTCGCGAAAACGCGTTACCCCCTGCCGAAGACCTCTTAATCGTATAATGTTGATGCTCTATTGCCAATTAAACGTCACCGATCTTCGTGATCTTCGAACTTGGTGCTCATGATAAAATAACAGACCTGTATAAACGCGTGAGACGATATAGAATCAAATGTCGACGTTAGTTTCGATAAGAAGGATAAGAAATCGAGTTAGAAATAAATTGGAATAATAAAACTGCAGCTACAAGAAATGTAGTTTTCCTTCAAAAGCTGTCAACCGCTATTCTTGTATAGTTAATATCATCGCAAGTTGCAGTTAGTGTTTTAAGAATTAATTAAAAACACAGTGGACGCTTACACCGAATTAGAATAAATAATGCAATATAAATTGCTGGTGAAAATTCACTATCTCCTGTAATTCAGGAACGATGACTGCAGGTTTAAGATCTAGATAGGAAAATCGAGACCTTCGCGTAAATAGATCATAGTGACCTTTTAATAATAAAATTGATAGCTATGGTATTTTTCAATGAATTGAAGATCATTGAATAAGTACGATTCATTTTATTTTGATATTTTATGACTTTAATTTTTTTTTTAAATCATCATTATTCTTGTTGTTTATCGACCGTCTCGATACTCAGAGAAAAACAAGATATATAATTCTAGCAACAATAACATAATGCCTTTGAAATTTAAGTGTTCGCAATTAGGTAGGTAGAGAACGAAAGTAGAGGGTTGAGAATGGTCAAAATATAATCACGGCAACAAATGTGACGTTGGATATTAACATTATTTCATTAGTTACATGCGTAACTATTACATATGATTAATATTATTATTTCTTCAGTTTAGAAAACTTATTCATTTTTCTTATTACAACTTCAATACATGACGAAAGTGTTGTTTCTTTTGAATTTAGCTGCTGATACTACTTTTTTCTCTGAACATATAATACACGTCCGTTTCTAAGCACTCTTGTGGCCATGGCTGTGCAACGCTGCGCTGAATAGTCACCTGTATTCGCGCCTCCGGTAGGCCGATCTTGCCGGCGAGTCTTTCCCTGGCGAACACGTCCGGATAATGCGTCCTCTCGAACTCCTTCTCGAGCGCGTCGATCTGCTCGTTGCTGAAGCTCGTGCGATTCCTCTGCAGTTTCCTCTTCAGACGGAGACGCGCCTGATCGTCGTCGCCGCCGCCTGACACGCTGCCGGCGTTGCTGTTGTCACCCCCGCTGTTCGTCTCGTCCGAGTGCGCGCCACCCTCGAGCTCGCTTACTGCAATAATAAAACGCATCGTGACACCATTATCAACGCCTTTTCGCGCGAACGGCTATTACGGGCAATCTCTCGAGTCTTCTTTTATCGCGTTAGTATAGTTACGACAATTTTCGTGCTAAGGGCCTCCTTCGCGGATTAACTTTCGAGGATATAGAATTAAAGGGGATTTATCGCCGAGTTAAATACATTAAATGCCAGTCTCACGTCTTCGAAACTTCAAAGTTTGTTCACAGCGTTCTTACGTTGAGTACTGAATGTTGCAGTCGTTAATTGCCGAAGATTCGTCACCGAAAAAAAGAAATCAATCTCAAAAAGATTTAGAGAAACTTTTCGCAATTAATTCGAAAAATTTGCACTCGAATTAATTAAAAGTCGATTAATCAAAAAGTCGCAAGTTGCTCGGACAGTTTTTTTTTGTCGAAATGCCGACAAGCGTTATCTCTACCAAATCTGCCCGTGATATTACCGGGCAAGTTAACGCCTTTCAGAAATCCTTCCCAACAAGGAGATGGGCGATGTATTATCGATGTCGGCGTGCGTGATAACGCGGCGCACGATTTGTGGTTTCGCAGCGCTTACGCCTCCCTCCCCATTCCCTCCTCTCCTTCCCTCCCCCCGGGCTTTCTTATATCAATTCCTACGCGCGACATGCGCCCGCGCGCATATCTGCGTGTGTACGTGCACGTGCGCTCGCGTGTACGTATCGGTGTGCGTATGTGGACGAGCGGGTGGTATAGGCAGGCGTCGCCGGGTGAACCTTATCGTCGGTTTCTGGGTGAGCGCGTCGAGGCGTCACCGGGCTCGCTACGACGACGGGATGAGGGGGCGGACGGGTGAGGAGACACACGGGGTAGAGCGAGAAAAGGACGACGGGGGAGGGTTGGAGGAAGCTACAGGCAAGGGGGTGCCCGATAAGACGACGGGCGTCCCGACGCCAGTTGCCGGCCACCCCCACGAGATACGCCACTGTCATTCCGCGACTACCTCCTCTCCGCCTGGAGAAACTCAGAGTCAGAGTCTGGCTCGATGTGACACGTGACACACTGGCTGTTATTGGCTCCATTATATTCTACGTTAATAAATTCTGTTTTATATATTTTTACATAGGTAAATACACACTGCAACTGATGATAAAAGATCATAATTCGTTTGTTTTTCTCGTTTTTTAATTGACTCTTCAGCGTGTCCTATACATATAATTTATTTACACCATATAGTATATGTGATGTTATATGAGTAGGATGATAAAGAATTAGTTTGCCTTTTATTGACCTAATTTGATTTTTATACAATTATTTGTGCATACCATTTATATACCATTTTTCAGGATTTAAATTGTTTTACGCGATTTTAAAAATCATTCTGTTGGATTTAAAATATCACTTGAAAATATTTCCCGGTAAGGAAGAATAGATTGATCAGATTTTGATTCAGGTATACCTCTGCCTCTTGTAAAAATATTATTTCCTAGTTGTCGCAATATATATTCGTGATGACAGATTGCAAAGGGATTTCAATAAAGACATCGACAATATTCAATTTACCATATGAAAAGTTATATATTTTCGTTACATCGATACTTTACGTTACTCTCGATATAGGTACATAATGAGTAACGTCAAGAAGTCGCGGATAACTGTTACGGTTGAGATAACCTGATAACATGTCGATGTCGTCGTGGGACAGCGTATCACGTTTTCCATATATAACGTCAGATTAGAAGCGCCCACGGAACTCGGAGGTAACGAAAACGTCCGTAATAATCGTCGTATAAGCGGCAAAACCCGGGGATACAACCCCCTTTCCCTTTTCACCCTCCCTCTCCTCGCTCCCTCCTCCACGTGACTCGCTCGAGGAAGTAGCTGGCAGACGGCCACGCTAGTAGCGGCAAAGTTCTCGCGGCTCGGTAGGGTTGGTTGCCTCGAACTTCCACCCTCCGGCCGTACCGATGAGAATCGAGTGCGACGTTAGCGGTACAAGTTCTCCGGTCCTCGCGTTCCCCCCCCCTTCTCCTCCCCCAAATCCCCCTCGTCTTCTACGTCATCCTCCTCATCCGCCAGCCCTGAGTTGCTCCTTCGTAACCGTGCACTGCAAACGATATCTTTAGGGGCGGCCCTCCGTCAGTATCTGTACGGCGCGGGGTTAACGCTACCGAGGGTGTCTTAAGCGGTAATTAAAACCGCCTTAGCTCCCTCTCCTCTCCCGCCTCCTTCTCTTCCACCCCCTCTCCCCTCCCTCCTTCCATCCATCCCTGCGGAAGCTCGAGGAGCAACTTCGGGCCTTCGCGGTTGCTGGATCTTGCGTCTTTACTATCACGGGGCCAAGTCGCGCCGCGCCGCTCATCGCTTTCTATGCGGTGTACTTGCGAGTTAAACGCCGACGCGGAGCTCGAGCGTTTAAGGCGGAGATACGTGCCGTAGGAGCGTGTACGAGTAAATCGACACCAACAGCATGAGAATAAAAAAATACATCATTTTTATGACATGCCTGAGTCATTCGATGATTATCAAAGTTCCTGATAATATAATATATTATAATTAAAATTTTCCTTGTCAATGTCAAGTTATTCAGTGCGATTATTTTTAATCGCAAAATTTCGATAACTTGTAATAGCAGATAAATAATAATCTTAAAAATTCGTAGGTATTATTTAAACAGAAATTATTATACTAATTAAATAATATTCGATTCGTATAATATCAATTAATATTTATTTTAATATCTTATACACATCAGACTGTTGCTTTTAAGCGGGACAGTTAACTTTAATACTCGTATGTTTAATATACATATATGTATAAGCAGTCTAATAAGTTGGTTAATAAATAATGGCATCAATTTAAGGAATATATTCATGTGTGCGAATTATTATTTGCGGGAAATAATTCGGTCCGTGATTTACATTTTTTTTCCAATCGGTCGATGCGTTAGTACATAAATTATCGTGTTAAGCCTTTCAGCTGCGGCGACATATCATCCTTGTACCTTTTAATGAACCGAATCTCTAAATCTCAGAGGTTCTAAAAGTGTCATAGCTCCAAATATGTTTACGCGACCTGTCGCGATAAACGAGCGGAAACAGAAAGAGAGGGGAATACGGAGGGGGAAGGGAAGAAAAAAAAAGAAGAGAAAGAGAGAGAGAGAGAGAGGGAGAGAGGAACCCTCCTAAAGCTCATCTCCGTACTAAAGAACGTTCGGAAGGCAGGAGCTAAACGCGGGACCATTTTATCCGTGGAGGGGAATCCACGCCACCCAGACAGCTTCTCGCCCCCTCTTGCCCTTCCTCACTCGGTGTCCCCCTGCCTCCTTCCTCGTTTCTGGCCCCAACCAGATCATTCGTATCTTCCTTCAACGAATTATCCACCAACCGGGACTGCCGTGCGTTCGAGCGTGATGGCGGAACTATTCGAGGTTTAATCTACCTACGTTGTCGCCAATGCATTCGATATTTTTTCGATATTTCTTTTGGCGCGAGATTGTTAATAAAGTTTTCACAATTGTTATATACTTGTACATATATGTAAGGCAAAAAGATATACGTACAAAGTAGCTTTGATAATAAATAAATCGAGATTTGTAAAAAATCGACGTATTCACGAATTAACGATGCAAAGAATTTCTCACGTCCATTATCTATCGTAATTAAATATTCTTATACTTATTATATAATTAAAATATAACATATGTAAGTAATACGTAAAAATATGTTTGTTAAGAAAATATTATAATTATTTCTTAAGCAAAATTTAAGAGTAAATTTATTTTATTATTTTTTCTGAAAGAGAGACATCTATTTCTGTGTTTTATCTTTTAGAAACTCTTGTCATCTTTCTGAAAATCAAAAGACAGCACATGTTTCACATTGTATGAAACAACATTCGCCAACAGTTGTATAAACCGAGAGACTGATTTGCAATCGTTAGAAATAATGCAGCACGTCGAGCAGAGTTCGAGAAGTCGCGCACAACTCGTAGAGTGTCGAGTGTGTGATCGACGGGCAAGAGAAGGGGGAGGGGGGGCGTTTATTAACGTCGATAATGGGTCGGTGTGCACTTAGCTAAACGCTTTAAAGACCGCGCGGGAATGGCATTGTCGCGCGAACGTGCGACAATGCCGTCCGCTATTGCGACCTCGTGGCATTGTGGCGGGCGTATCGGTAGTTTACTTTCAATCGTCGCGTCATCGGCCCGGGGGGAAAGAATCGTCGAATACAGCCAGTAAGAATAACAAGAACAAAGGATATCGAAGAGAAAGAGAGAGAAAGAGAGAGAGAGAGAGAGAGAGAGAGAAAAATTACGGCCACAAACCGAGAGGAACAAGGACGGCGGGAGAGAAAGTTATTCTCTCTTTTTCTTTCTCCTTGCCTCAAAAGTTTCTGTTACCCACGTGCCCTCCTGACTCCACGAGAGTCACTCGAACGAAAGAAATAAAAAATAAAAAAAGAGAAAGAAAAACACTCGGCAAGGGAAGACCCTTGACTTGGAAACTACTACCGTCCCCTACGGCCAACGGTGATGAGGACTGTTGCGGGATCAAATTCATACGTCGCGGGGTCGCGACTCTCGACAACGTTCGAAGGAAACAATGCTACACTTACGCGACGGAGAAACGCGTATAGGTAAACGGTGCGGACCACTCGACCGCGTGCCACGCAACCGATTGTGCCGATCGAGACCGGAAGAGAAGCACGTTCTCTCCTCTGTTCCTCTTCAGTGGCGAACACAGTGGCGAGCGCGAAGTGGCAAGCGCAAAGTGGCCAACTTTCAGACACGAGCTTCGCCGAAGCGTGATTAAATGGCACGTTTCGTTGATTCGAAAAAGAGAAGAGAAACGTTTTGCGGCTCGTGCGACGGGAGATCGGGCTCTCGAAACTCCGCAATGAACGATCGATGCGCGCATAAGCACGTTTGCCCACCTTGTGCTAATTCATTCTTAAATTCACGTATCGAATCTGCTCGCTGTGCAAAAGGACTACTATTTCATGCCGAGCAAAGAAT